TTTCGGATATTGAATATCATTTTCAGAACGCCTGTATCAACGCTGTAGAGACGAAATGGATCTTTATGCAATAGAGCTGTAACGGTGCGTTGTACCACACCGTTTTTTTTCTTCCTAGGTTCCCGCATCCAAACTTTTTGTCTATGATCTTTAAATAATTTATTATATTTTGATTAATTTTGCATTCACAATGCCATATTGAAAATTATTCTTATTTCGCCCGGATTGCGAAAGGTTGTGGGTTCGATTCCCATCTCAGGGTACCAGGGACCAAGAGGATTTTTTAAGCATTTTGTATTAAGAATAATTTAACATAATTTGTTTTTTATAATTCATTTTTCATAATTTGAAATTTTGAGTAACGCGATATACTCTTTCTGGACGTCAGTTCGTGAAAATTCATCCAGTGAAGACATGGCATCAATTTGTGATACAAAAAGTGTTAGAATTTATAAAAATACATTTATTTTTGTTAGTTCTAAAGAAAATTGTAAACATATTACTTAATTTATATTTGTTCTACAACCCGAGGAAAGGATATGTAACTACTTTACTTATTAAACCTTACTTTTAGAAATCCATAGGAACTATTTATTATATTCTTTTTGTTTGTTGTCACAGTTTTTTTTTTATTTAAACTATAAAATATATCAAGTTATCAAGCTTAGTAAACCTTTCATTCACCTAAGCACCGAACCCGTCACAGAGCTAAATATAACGCAACTCGTGTAAAGCACCCTAAACGACATTGTTATAGTAGCAAGGAATGGAGGAAAAATTCACTTTTTCGCCTTTTGAAATATTGAATTTTTACATTTATGCCTTTCACACCTCATAACGTAATATTTCTCAGGGAGAACGCCCTCCCTTTGCCAACTTTTCTGTTGCAGTAGCAACATTCAAAATAAATGTTTGGTGTTTTGTCAAGCGACTGCCAGACATACCTATATCTTTCTTCATTGTGTAAGTTAACATATCAGAATATAATGAAATTACATAAAATATATACTCAACCATTTCGGAACATATGAAAGCTTCTTATTAGTTTTTCTATAATATATACGTAAATAACTTTTGTCGGTTTTTTTTTTATTTCAAATGATATAACAAACAATTGCGAGTTATCCTATACGGATTTAGCTTTTTCTTCTTCATGTACCTAAAACTCTTACTAAGCTCCTTAAGGAATAAATAATTATCAACATTTTGATGAAATAGTACTAGTTTTTTACCGAAACACATGACGGTTTCACGCTTGTGTAGGTAAAGCACGCCATATGCTCGGCATCCTCCAAACTCGGTACGTTATTATGCGGCCACATCAGTTAGTTGGGGTATCGAACGCCTGTAACGGCATCAACCGCCAACTGGCCACCACATTAATCCTGTACAGGCCCTTGATTAATTATTTAAACTTGGAACGAACCTAGCGCACATTCTCTGCAAATCGCTTAGTGATAAGCAACATTCAAAACTGTCCTGCTCGGCAATATCGCTTAATGTAAATTATACCTACTTACCAATCACAAGAACATTTTCATTATAAGTCAGTTATTGTAATTACGATTGATTCCAGTATACAGGAATACAATATTTGATTAATTAGAAAAATAGGTTATAGTACATTAATTGTTATATCTTTATTAAAATTAATCTTGATATTATAGGTAGCTCGTTTATTAAGCCGCGTGTAATATTCAAAATTCTCTTCAACTTTTTACATTATACCTACTTGTAAACAAGTAGACATTACAATTAAAGTAGACATACATAGTCTACACATCAAAAACGCCCTTTTGATTTAGTCAGAATAGAATTTTCTAATAATCATCGTAGCAGAAAAAAATCACTCGTAAAACAAGATACATTCAATTGGACAAAGCTAGGGTTGTGATAGCATCAAATTATGTGCGGACAAGGCGACTCTTGACTTGAGCGATGTAAGTGCCCCTAATCCGCAGTAAATCTTGGGTCGCATGGGGCACCGCGTCCGCAGCCCGTAAGGGTTAAACAAGCGGACATTACTACGCAATCATTTATTACCTACACGATGTTTACGCCGACAGGGGACTCGAGTGCTTGTTTATATTGCCATTTCTAAATATTACTTTCGCTTGAACGTTATTTTAAGACAGGCAATTTAATCATACGTATTTTTAAATATGTAATTTTTTAGGCCAAAACTACGTATATATCAACTATACAACAAACATCGTCCTATCTTTTGACAACTGTGACTGTGAAATTTTAATAATTACTTTCTAAAATGGAATTTGCTGCTGTCCTGATTATTCGAATTTTCTGAACAAATATTCTGAACTTTACACAGACCAAATTTGTGCCGACGATGAAGGTCCGATTGCAAAAATCCAATTTATAAATAATTAAGTGAAAAACATTTCAGATGCATTCCGTGTTTATCTGACTTAAAGAAACATACGACTCTGCAATTCAAAAATACGCATTTTACTGGCTATGTTCAATGAGTTTAGTTTTTTACTAAATGTCCATGAATGAATGAATATGAATATATACTTTATTGCCCAGTAAAACATAAACATGTAAACAAATATTATTAGAAACATCGATGCATAAGGTGGCCTTTTTGCTAAGGTAGCAATCTCTACCAGGCTACCCTTGGCTAAAAGAAGCTATACCGATTGAGTAAAGAGACTGCGGGCAAGTGTATTAAAGAAAGACGAATGAGAAAATTCATAAAAGTAAATCGATATACTAATATAATTTAAAAATAAATATATACAAAATAAAACAAAACAGAATACAATTTCAGGAAGATGAATCCAGTTTGAGTAAATGTTACTTGACATATTTAACAAAGGAATCTCGTGATTGTGCGCGTCTGATATTTACCGGCAGTGAGTTCCACAGTTTGATAGCTCTGATATAAAACGACTTGGCTACAAAATCAATTGTATGAGGAGGGATCACTAAGGAAAAGTTGTGGGATGACCTCAAATCTCGGGGAGAATTAGAAGAGTGAAAAACGAAGCGATCATTAAGATATTGCTGGTGAATACAATATTTTGTTAAAAATGTATAGAGTTTGAAACGGTCGATCCCTAAATTGGTTGCATTTTTCAATGAAATGTATATAGATGATATCCTCATTATACGCGGCCGCTCCCGTACGTGCATATTCCGACAAGCAAAAACTTAGCCGACTTGCATCTTCAAAGCTCTACATGTACAACTACGCACGAAAGCGTTAACGCTTATGTAACCGTTCTCATTAAACTAACATTGTCGTTCCGCCTTAAAAGATTTCGGGTGATTACTCAAACGAATAATTTTATCTCCGTACACATAATACCTACTGCTCTGTTTACTTTAATATTAACTAAGTACTTATAACTGTTGCTCGTATAGAAATTTAGTAATGTAATGAGCACCTACTATATAAATGTATACAAAATACTGCTATATTGATTTTCTAACCCTACATAGACAGTGACGTGTAAAAAAATGAAAATCTTATCATTTTATCAATTTTGCATTCGCAATGCTATACTGGAAAATATTCTTCATGAAAAATTCTTTAAAAATCATGAAAACAATTAAAGCGCTGTAAACGTTGTTTTATAAAATGTTAAGTGCGCAGCAATTTAAGAAATGATTAAACCATCAAATAGAATACACTTCTGTCGGCAACAGTACTCCCAACGCAAGTCAAACTCATAATAATTCTAGTGGGTGACCAAGGGCTATCGAGTTTCGGGTCCAGTACACTGATAATTTACTATCCTGGGCTTAAGTGCCCAACGTATGCACACCCCGAATTAATTACACTTGCTCAACAGTTTTGCATAAGAACAAAATATACGAGTGGCTACCCAACATGCCTATTCATATAGAACTATAGAACTCTCATATGATACGATTTAACAACAATGATATAAATGTAACCTCTTTAAAATAAGCCAATTTAAAATGATAAAAGCCTTTTCTGATTTAGAGAAATATTGAAATTTAGTAAACTTAAAAAAAATAATTCATAGGTAAGGCGCCGACCGTGCCATTGTGTTAACTATTAAATAAAAATGAATTGTCAGCGTGAAGCAGTCATGTGGAACCAAGTGCCCCGCGCTGTTTGATTGACAGTTGGTCTTGTCCAATGGCACACGCGAAAGCAGCCGAGTCACGTCAATCAACCACCATCAACCCCACCACTACGCTGTCATATTAATTCAACCAAAAACAAACCTTAATTACGAAACTTAGAGCCTTTAATACAACGAATCTGTTGTTGCGAATGCACGCGGTCGAACCATCACGCGAACGCGATCGCCCCATTATTCGCCGCCCTTTTGTAATTTGAATTTCGAATTCCAATTCGTATATTGTGGTAAAATAAAAAGAACAACGTTTCGACACAATGGCGTCAAGGGCGGTGCTCTGACATGCGATCAAGTTATTACATTAAAGGAAAGCGCACCCGCGGACCTCACAACCCTGTTATTGAAAGCTTCCAGCTATAGCGCTCTAAACAATTAATTGTTGGTACTTAAAGCGTATCTATATATAGAGCACGTTTAATATACCTATACTATGTACATTTAATATCCTAAAGGTTTTTAATTGACTTAAAAAGGTAGATCTAAATTCGTATGTACAAGTACCTACATATAATGAAATATCCTCCTATGGTTATTTGAGGCTATGTATACGATAATGATCAGTATTTTTATAGCACAAGTTGTGTGCGTTGTATCTCTGATGGCTCATTTACATTAGTCGATGGGATCAGCACGCTGAGTGCGCGCGATCGCTGCGCGCTCATCCCTTTACTTTATCCCTTTAAAGAAACTTCATTCATTCATTCATTGACCAATGTTAATACGCCATAGACATAAAAAAATAACTTTTTGGATCACTTAAATTCGTGCTCATGCACAAACTTGGTCTTATTCAAAACATATATGATCCATAATAAAGAACATGAAAATTATTTACTAATAATAAAAAAAAATTTTTTGTTACAGAAAATGGTCTGCCACGAAGACTACGAACAGCCTATACAAACACACAATTACTAGAATTGGAAAAGGAATTTCATTTCAACAAGTATCTATGCCGACCACGAAGAATAGAAATTGCAGCTTCACTTGACCTCACCGAACGCCAGGTACGACATAATTTTTTTTTAATGTTCTATCTTTTTTTCTATATTTTTTTAATGTATATACCTAAACTACATAGAGGTTTTACAAATAATTTACATCAATATTGTTTACAGGTGAAGGTGTGGTTTCAAAACAGACGTATGAAACACAAAAGACAAACATTGAGTAAAAGTGAAGATGGTGACGACAAAGATTCAACTACTTCTGAGGGTGGAAAGAGTTCCAAGACTGGACTTGATAAATTCCTGGATGATGACGGTCCACTGTCTGGAAAGAAAAGTTGTCAGGGTTGTGAACTGCCATCTGGAGCTCTCTGCTCGCCAGCTGAAGAACTACCAGAGCTCGCTTCACGAACAAGGAACAATAATACCCCAAGTGCCACGAACAACAATAGTTTCGCAAGTGATGGCGCTTCAAGTGTAGCTTCATCTTCGTCGCTAGATAAACTAGCTGAAGATGACTCGAGAGATGCTCATCCACCAGCAACTACAGTTCCTGCAGCCCCCAGAAACTTAGCCAAAAGAATCAAACAGGAATCAAGAAAGCGATCGCCTTCTTTAGATACTGCGTGCAAAGTCTCACCATCTTCCTCTAAAGATGGTCTTGGAGTAATAGCTGGTTTACCCGATGGTGCAAAATTTTCTTCAGTCAGTTTAACCCCGTCATCGACACCAGGAACGCCATCAAGCATGCACCAGAGCCCACTCGGGTACTATCCACGTCCGTCGCCTCCAAATGCACCGCCAGGAGCTTCACATCCTCAAGCAGTACCAAATGCAATGCCACCATACGTCATAAGAGGTAATGCACCTCCAGGTCAATTTGTACCACATCCTGATTTTCGCATGGATTCAAAACAATTTGTGGGTAAACTGGCACAATATCCACAAAACAATAGAAATTATGAGAGTTACGGGGGAGCGATACAAGGCGCTGCAGAGCAGCACGCTTATAGTCGAGGCCAGGCACATGCACGGCAGCAAGATGGTTCACCCGCAAGACCAACTAATGGTATTGGATCACGCCAAACTTACCCGCACGAAATGTACCAAAACTACGGTTACCCAACGTATGGAAAAGATCAGGCGACGTACGGACATCCCGGTTACGAACAGTCACAGGCTTATGGAGAACATATGGGTTACCCGAACAGCCATTATGGTTATCACTATCATGAAGGTCAACACGAACATCCACACAATTATTACGGTAGTGAAGCTCAGAAAAATGCTCATGGGAATGAATATGCAAAGAATGCTTATTACGATAGTAGCGCGTATGGAGCACAACAGGGCCCTGCTACTGGAAGTTACGCAGCTAGCACTCAGACCAATGCGGCTGGTGAACCGTACGCCAATAATTCTGCCGATTGCGGCGATGGTTACGGTTCATTCCAACAGTTTTATGAAGCGACACATGCCGCTCCAACTGGCGACAACTCTAACTCATCTTCAGACTTCCATTTCCTCAGCAACCTCGCTAACGACTTCGCGCCCGAATACTACACCATTTGAGATAAGGACTTCGCCGAGCAGGCGAGCGATCTGTTCGTGTAATATTATAAAGTGCTATGGTAATTTATATATTAAATTAATTCAGTTAATTAAGGTGTTGGATGGAGTACAACTGTTTCTGCCCAAGGCGAAATGGAACAAAAGTTGTTTGGTTTATGCTCTTTATACCGATATAAAAAACATAAATTAAGATTATGTAATAAATTGTAAATAATCATAAAATAATTAATTTCAATTGAAATATTTTTACTGATACTTGTACACGACTAAATTATAGGTGCTGATATCAGTCAATAAATATACCTAATTGTTAAAAAAAATCCGTATATAAAGCGAAGAACACTGTTTCAGTAAATAAAAGAGTAAACACTTGGTTACATTATTCAAAAACATAAGCAATTCAACATAAAGTATCCTGGTGTGAATGTAGCTTTGAATTCAAGCTTCACATACATGCAGTTTAAAAATATCTAATTAAAGTTTACAAAGCGGTTATCGAAGAAAGGGAATACTTTTTTTTTATCTAAACAACTTTTCACGTGTTCATGTTAATAAATATTTAATTAATAAATTAAGGATAATGCCCAAATTCCCGTATAATATAAATTCTACCTGCAATATAAAAATATTTTTAACATCACTTGCATTGCTTGGATTACAAACTAAGTCCTACTTATAGCATTTCTGTTAAGGAAATCGGAAGCAACGACGAAACCACAACACAAATAAAGAAAAAAAAACATTTTCTACTATGAACCAACCGGGTATTTAATAATGTAGCTCTACCGCGTATCTAAATTAACTGCCAAACTATATTTCAAAATACATATGAGCCCTGAATGATCTGTCCGACTGGCAGATCCTTCAGTAGACCAATCGGAATAGTCTGTCGAAGTCTGTCTAGCTAGGCCACTCGTGATTGGTCTGCTGATAGGTGATCTGTCAACTTGACAGATCAATAAGAGCTCTATAGTTACGTTTTAGAGCTCTGGGACCTCAAGTATGACGAATCCTTGAAACTGGTGTGTGAGCCACTCAACCACGGTCATGAACTTAACGGCCGCAAATAGGATCAAACCAAACATTTACCAATTAATTATGCATTAGTTTATTTGGAAAAACAATTAAATTGGATGCTTTTATAGTACTTGTTTTAATTGTATAGCTGATCTACAATCTATTATAGCTAACCCGATATTTTATAGAATACCTAGGCATTCTATACTTAAATGCTTAATAACTTTAATTTTAAATTTAATCTATTCCATATTTTACATAGGCATTTTATATTAAATAAATCCAGTTCACTTCTCAAACCTCCAAATCCTATATAAAAAATAATTTTATTGAAGTTTAATCTTGAACCAAGGAAAAAATTTAACAGCTTTAAATTATAAGTATTTACTATTGGGTTTTGTATTTATCACGTAGGTAATGTAATGTTTGATTGATTAATGGTAAATACTGTATTTTATACCTTATTACTAAAATTATGTCAGTATTGTGATAAAAATAGAATAACTAGGTATTCTGTACAATGACTGAAGTGTATTACATTTACGGAAAAATAATATATATGAATGAAACATAATATATATGAATGATACCATTCGGTATAAATACTTTTAAATCAGAATTGAAGTGTAAAAATATAAAAATAATACTTAGGTAACGACTTCCAAATGAAAAGGGAATTGTTTTTGGGTATTTTCCTTTGTTTACAATATTACTTAATAATACAAAAATTGTTTACAAATTTAAGGAATAGTCGATGCCTTATTTAGTTATTATCTATTGTTTTGTGACTATAAATCATATTATAGATGTATATAATAAATATTATTATAGTTTATAATAAGTCATGATACTGTAGATATCAGCGCTATCATTTTGGCCTATTAAAAAATAAATCATTTGGTGTCACATTTTTTTTGTCCTTTTTCACTTAGTAAAGACAACAACTGATTCCATCAAGTAGGACCAAGATAAGAAGTTTTAATGTACATGGGTATATTAAAAAATTTATAGTTTACCCAATTACCCATACAAAGGTTTGCAACCCTTGACGAATTTTCCGATCTACGCCGTATCGCTAGGTATCGCTACACCTCTATACGCTCGCTACGCCTCTATACAATACGTATCCTATGACATTTTTATATTTCCTATGATATACTTAGTTTGAAATGAAGTCCGATTACGTAGCGTAAGGTTAAGCTAAGTTGGATTTGATTTTACGTTCACCGCCGATCGTGAGCGCGTTAAGATTGTAGTATGGAGTCCAAGGGGCCAATTCTACTAAATAAATTTTGTTTAAATAGAATCGAAAACGGATCGAAACCGAACGAAACTACAGTTTCTACTAAGTGACATACGATACAATTCCAGCTAAAATAGAACTGGAATTGTATCGTATGTCACTTTGTAGAATAGGAAAACCATTAAAAACTATAGTTTCGTTCGGTTTCGATCCGTTTTCGATTCGATTTAAAAAATATATTTAGTAGAATTGGCCCCCTGTACAGCGCCCCTAGCGGTAACCATCAAGAACTACAAATTTCTATGCAAAGTCTTAATGCGGTCACAGGAATGCTATAACATAAAACTTATACTTAGCACTCAGATATCCGCTCGAAATGTCTCGAGCTTCGTTTCTCAAAAGAGGCAACCGGCTGCACGTCAGACTACCACAATATGACAAATTATCTTTAGTGAGAGAAATATTAGTTTTGTATAGCCGGACGTGCCGTTGAATGAACATACCCTACAAAATACAGTAAGCATGTACTTACATCTGGGAAGCGACTGCCTAACTATAACTCTGTCAATAGCTATAAAAATATTTTAACAAAGAATATTTTGACGGCGCCGAAATAGATACGGTTAACTACTAATTGGTAAATTTACAGGACAGCTTGGCGTCCTGTAAATTTTGCTATTAACAGTTGGTGCCTTTGCTATTCTACGCAAAATTTGCTCAGTAATTAGAAGCTCTATGGTAATTTTCTTTCTTTAGGATTAAAACTAGCTTTCCGCCAGCGGCTTCGCCCGAACCTTCCTTTTGAATCACTCTATCTATGAAAAAAAACCGCATCATAATCCGTTGCGTAGTTTTAAAGATTTATACATACATAAGGATATAGGGACAAAAAGCGATTTTGTTTTATACTATCGTGATTATGCTTTATAGACACAATTTAGGCAGAAAATAATTGAAAAATTCAGTTGACCGTATCTACTTAAGCACCGTCAATTTATTGCTGTTTATCAAATAATGTGTTTATAATGTTCATGTTTTATTATATACCCACATATTAAGACAATGGTATGGTTGTTGCACTTTAATGAATTAAGTTTGACTAAATGTAAAAGCTATTTCGGAGTGATATAAGCCATTAATTATGTATATAAATAATAAAAACATCTCGTCATGAAAGAATATATACACGTTAATTGAAAAAGTCAAGTAACCACGGAAAACGTTCTTATAGCTATGATTGAGTCATACTCGTAGCTAGAGGTAGAGAATTAGGCCATAGGCTGTCGCAAGTCGCACCCGGTTATATTGTTTATTTTCAGCATATGAATTTTGGCTTACCAGACTAGTTAATTAAGTTTTAAAACTATATAGGTATAACGTTATATCAAAATATAATAACCAAAACCGGCATAAGTATAAGGCCTTGACTACACCGCCTAGAACCGCCATCGGCTACGTCGCCTTCGAGGCACGATAGGCTTTATCTTCAGTGGCAGTCATGAATATCAAACCGTTTTTAAAATGAGTATTATTCTGACTTCCCGTAGTTTAGAAAACTTTTATTTTGGTGTGATTTTTATGGACGTCGTTTCAGCGTTTTGCCTAAGGCGCCAAGATTCTAGCAGCCGGCGCTGTTGTTAGTAGTTCTATTAGTGATATTACAATACCGAATCCTACAAGCTAGTTTGAGAGCTGAATGTGAGCATTTATTTGCTCAATCTAAATAATGAAGGTATTAATTTCACTTTATCAAAATTTACTACATTACACAGTCGCTACAATTTAGGGTATTTTTTTGCGACCAAGCTAAATTTGAGGAATAGTTTGCAACGCATTAGATATGACCGTATATTAAATTTCATATAGGTAACTACACAATCATTTGTTTAAATAGTTCTTTATCCTTCAAACTGCATGCTTATTCTTGAACGCAATCGAAATCTGAAAAAATGACATTGCATTTGTGACGTTTCGTACTTATAGCTACTACTACTAGCGCCAATGAAATCAATATCACGTGATTATCGAATGAACTTAATCAACATTGAATAAATATTGAGACTATGTTTCAAGAGTACAAGCTAAGATTTGATGAAAACTGAGATCATCATCAGGGATGGATTGATATTGAGATCGCGTTCAAGAGTAAGCCTACAGATCTCTTGCAGGGTTCAATAAAAGAGAGAAAATGTAAAAAAACTTATTGATATTACATATTAATATATTTTTAAATAAAAGAAACTACAAATTTTGTGTTACACATTAATAATTTGTGATTTTCAAAAAAGCAAACAAACAACATATTATTTTAAAATTTCTCTGGAGTATTTGCTGAGGCGTTTGTGAAATTTATTTATGATGTACTCAACAGCAATTATAGTCTGCTCCAAAGAGGGGTAAAAAAGTGAAAAATGGCCCAAAGTATTATGTTACACTTATATCTATATTCGAGAGAAATAATTACTTGAGAAAATGACATAATTTAAGGTATTTTTAAGAAATAATCAAAACTTGAAAGAATCCCGAACTCTCAAATTATAGAATACTATTTACTATTGACAGTTCTCGCATCATTCAAATTCTGGTCTATAAATTTAAATAGTTGCTTAAGTTATGACATTGTCTCAAGTAATTACTTCTCTCAACAATAGTCACAATTGTTAGAGTTTAAACAATATATATTGCTACTATCCATAGAACTCTACATTATTTCTACAAAGTACTATGTTTTGTTGCCCAGATAATCTTAGGTTGCCCCACCACATACAACACTTTGCAGATGATATTGAGGTGTAATGTTTCTTATTATTAACTTATAAAGCTTACATAATACTTTAGGTCAACACCAGCCCTTTTTCTTGCCCTAAGAATAAACTATAGAAAAGTTTCAAGTGCATCAAAATACAATAGAATTATTTTCCACCAACTATCAATAAAATTCTTATCTTTCCTATTTAAAATTAAATAGGCTTATATATTTTAAGAGATCTATAAAATGATAGTTCAGTCATATCTCATAATCAAACATACAAACTTTAATTATTCTATTGTATCTGTAATGGCAGTTCTCCATATCATTAGTATTAATCATTATTTCATGTTATGATGTCGAAGGTTTCTGCGCCTGTAGTTTCATTTCAAGCATCATACAAATTGCCTCCCGAGCTTTAGATTTCTCTACAGCAAGGGCTTGAATTTTTTCCATTTGCTCTGTTACAAATTCCACTTTCCTTTTAAAAAAATCTTTACCACCTTCAATATCCTGAAAGATATAAAAATTATAGTTGCATGAATTTCTGATAAAAATATGATTACACACAAATAATATAAATATAGTAAAAATATATTTAATGAAAAATGTATAAAAATATCCACTTTGTCCCTTGTACTCTGGGATCAATCAATCTCGGAAAATACTAAGTTATGAAAAAGAGAAACACTTAAAGACTGAAAAATATTTAAAGAAATACAGATTATAATAATAGGCATCATCAAATGTTAAATGTTTTTTATTTTACTTTATTATGAAGACTTCACAGAACATACATATTAAAAAAACTTACTTTTTGAGCATAATATCCTGTGCCAATATCAATGATAACATTATCTGTGTCTACTATAGTCCCAGGGACATACATGGATCCTGTAAGTGGTACCAGCACTGTTTTTCCTTTTGTCTGTGGAGTAATTTTTTCTACGCTTTCACCAGACTCCACAAATTTACCCTGTGCCAATTTAAGAGTCTGAAGAGAATCTTGAAATACATTGAGTTCCTAAAAGATATTAGTTATTACATTATTATTACAAATTTAGTTATTATCTTACATCGATTTATCCATCATTTTTATATAAATTCAGCATACTTGATCTAGCTGTTGTTTTAGTTGCGCCAACTGATGGAGATTCAACTTGGATAAATCAATCTGTTGCATGCCTGGAGCAGGAGCGGAGGATATAGTAGCCATTTTGAGAGAAATACTTTAACCAAATAATTTTTTATTGCTTTCAATCATAAATTAATTAACAAATCCAACTTTTCGATGAAATTCGTAATATAACCTCAAATCAAAACTAGAGATGCCCAATCTAACTCGGTCTTAGAAGCGATTCACGATAATACGATCTACCGATTTTTCAATCGATTCAGTGGACAATCTAAAGTTACTTCGTATGAAAAAATCGAATTGAAGTAACCATTTTAGAAAAAATATATATTCATTGTATACTTTTTTATTACCATGGCAAGATAAGTTTAAATCTAAATGGTGTAACATGTCGAAAAAAAATTAATTAAGTGGGACAACCTAAGAACGCAATGGTAACAACTTTTATTATTTTTTAGAAAATAAGAAACAATTTTTAAAGGAATACGATTCATATCGTGGATCGAGTCACGAAGTCACTATCCAATACGTTCCAAGAACCGAGTCAAACGAAATGATCGAACATTCCTTTTGAATCGGTTCCTTTTGATTCCTACTGAGAGTAGTAATTAAATATTATTTTACTTCATTTCTATGAGGAAATATTCAAAAAAAGTAAAGACTACAAAAATTTGTGACACTAGATGGCAGCATAAATTGTAAGATCTAAATATCAATAAGTAAGTATTAAAAAAAAGAAAGCACTAAAAAAGCAACTCCACTAGATGGCGACTCAAGCAAAAGTTGATTTTTGCAGGAAACGACACTTCCTTTTAACTAACATATTAAAAAACTGAAATTTGAAAAGTTCGAAACTTAGATACCAATACAAATACTAAAAAGTACAAATGGAATGATACCCGAAGGTAAAACGGGTATAGAGAAAGACCAGGGAGCTTTTAGATCACATGAGTTTATTTACCACCAAAAATATATATACTTTATAAAATACAAACAGCACCGACAATAGCTTTACGAAGAGTTACTTTCAATATATAATAACAATAGACGCGCATGTGCAGAACAGATTGTCAAAATGTCAATATTTAAGTTTAAATTAATTAAAAAGATCTTAAACCAAGAAGGTCTCCCTCAACATGGAATATGAGTTTTTTATTGAGTTTTGAAAACTAATTTACTTTTAAACTTAAAAGAAAACCGGAAAGGTTGTCATGGAGAAATCTCTTAGAACGTACCGTAGCGACATCTAGTTTGATTTCGGGAACTAATGTTTTTTTAATACTTCCTCATTCCGTGTTTTAGTTTTTATGTCATTTACTTTGCTAAAAACTCTTTCGCATTCAACATTCGAGTATTGCAGAGATAAAATTGCCAACATAAACTCAAGCAAATACTTAAAATAGGAATTTCCTGAAGCTGGCCTGGTATATAAAACAAAGCGGAGTCGCCTCTTACCAACAAAAGCAGAAAGTTTGGTATTCATTCACCACAATTTGCCACTTGTTAATTTTGAGTATTAAACTAATTCATAAATGTATGTAAAGTGGTTTAATTTTCCTTGTGTAAAATAATGAGATTTATGTTTATTTTACTATCCGGTATCCGGCCGGATATAAGCACCCTATCCAGTATCCGGCCGGATATAAGCACCCTATCCGGTATCCGGCCGGATAGTAAAGGTATGGCCGGATAGGCCGGATACCGGATAGTAACCGGACTAACATAGCTAATGATATGGTGATAATGGTACTGTTTCAGAATGGATCATGCCAAGAAAAAAACATTGAAAAAAACAAAATCAGTTTGGCTTTAGCAGAGGTAAATGTACCACAGACGCTGGAATTGCACTTCTGAGGCATATCTATGGTGCTTGGTAGAATAAAAAAGATGCTATTGGGGAAATTAGATCATTATGGTGTGACGAAAAATTCACTTAATCTAATAAAATCATATATTTCTGCTAGAATTCAAAAAGTAGTAATTCATGAAGCGAAATCTGCAGGGGCACCAGTTACTATGGGCGTACCTCAAGGATCGGTATTAGGACCATTGCTTTTTCTAATTTATATTAATGATCTTCCTCACTTTACGAAGAATTTGTGCGAGACAGTATTATTTGCAGATGACACCTCCTTACTATTTAAAGTTGGGAGGGGTAATGATTGTTTTGACGATGTAAATAATGCTCTCGACAATGTTCTACAGTGGTTTGATAATAATAATTTAAAGCTCAATTCAAATAAAACGAAATGCATCAAGTTTGCATTACCTAATGTGAGGCATGTCAGTACACTTATAAATGTAAATAGTGAAAAAGTTGAGTTAGTAGAATCGACAAAGTTCCTTGGTATTACACTAGATTCCCGACTGCAATGGGATCCCCATATTGATAGCTTGTCAAGTAGACTGAGTTCTGCAGCTTTTGCTGTTAAGAAAATTAGACTCTTGACAAATGTTTAAACGGCAAGATTGGTATATTTTAGTTATTTTCATAGTGTAATGACGTATGGTATTTTGTTGTGGGGTTCTGCAGCTAGCATTGGGGATATTTTTATTCTACAAAAGAGAGTTGTCCGATCTAGGGAATCTATCAGAGAAATATTTAAAGAAATAAATATTCTGACTGTTGCCTCTCAATATATCTATGAGAAAATCTTATGTACACAAGAAAATATTACGATTCCTTCACAAAAAAAAAGTAGTGTTCATAATCTTAACACAAGAAATAAACTTGCCATTCCAAGCTTCAGACTTCAAAAAACCAGAGAATCATTTCTGGGTAAATGCATTGCTATGTTCAATAAAGTTCCACAAAATGTAATCGACCTACCCATAAATAAATTTCAAATTCAAGTAAAGAATATGAGTTATGAGTAAAGGCTATTATAAAGTTGATGATTATTTTAAGGACCGCAATGCATGGAATTAATAGCCTTCGCTCTGTTCTATAACGATTAATTATAGGTATGTACCAACCTATGTCCTACAGACTTTGAAACTTGTATTTATTATTGTTCAATATATGTATTATTTTGATAATGACATGATTTATGCAAATGATATATAGATAAATTATACAGAAATGTAAAAATGAAAATATTAATTGAATAAGATACCAAAAAATATAAAATTATTAGAAGTAAGAAACTATGTAAAGTATATAAGAAATAAGAAATGAACAATAAGGAATAAGTAAGTAGAACCGAATGATTAATCCCGAGTAAGGTAAAACATACCTTATGTTAAAAAATAAAAACAATGCAAGCAAAAAAAACATAAAAGAGCAGAAAAGATTTGCTGTGTATTAAAAAAAAATTATACCCTATATATTCATATCCGTTATATCTTTCAAAAGTTATAGTGCAATAAAAAACACATACCTACATATATTAATTCTAAAAACAAGAGACTAATTTTCGAGGGCAATCGTGTTAAAATGTTCGGGAATCAATAATGAATCTCACCATAGAAATACTTAAAAAAAATACAAAAATTGGGAAAAGTATCAAAATAGCTCGGTCGTAGTTTCAACACAGTATTGTGGACTCGTGACCTTGAACTAATTGTCGAGAACTCGAGACCAAAATACCTAGTCTCACAGAGTGCAAATATATAAAAAAAAAATATGGCTCTTAACAAGAAATTTTGTTATGAATAGGGTTGCAAAGTTTATACAAATATGACCATAAGAGTTTGATATTTATAAAATTCACCCCACATCAACATATCGCTTCACAAAGCCTATATAGTGCATATTTTATAGTTTTTAAGTAAGACCAAATGACAGTCTTGTTGTTAAAAATCTTATATAAATAAAAATAAAATAAAATTCCATATATCATTTTAAAAATTATTCAATAAATACTGTCATTAAATTGGTAGCAGCCACTGAATTTAGGAACAGCAGATTGGGCCCACTTACGTGAAGCCTATTCCTACTCCGTATGATAGAATAGATGCTTCTGCTTTTGTATGATAGGTTTTAAAATTGAAGGCACGCTCGTGGCCACGATGAAGAAAGGATTGAAATTGGATTGAAAATACCACATTTTTATCAAACTAAGCATTAGAAATAATAGGTAATAAAGAAAATCCTTCAAATGAGGAAGTATTTAAAAAAAATTAGTTCCCGAAATCAAACTAGATGTCGCTACGGTACGTTCTTGATTTCTCCGTGACAACCTTTCCGGTTTTATTTCAAATTTAAAAGCAAATTAGTATTCAAAACCCAATAAAAAACTCATATTCTTTTTGTACTTTTTCGTATTTGTATTGATATCTAAGTTTCGAACTTTTCCGATTTCAGTTTTTTAATATGTTAGTTAAAAGGAACAAAAATGATTGTCTTTAGTCCATTCATTTCCTGCAAAAATTAACTTTTGCTAGAGTCGCCATCTAGTGGAGGTGCTTTTTTAGTGATTTCGGTTTTTTTTAAATACTTCCTCATTTCAAAGTAAAAAGTCTGGGTCACATAATAATTCCTGAAGGCGAAGAGGAATACTGTATGGCTTTTCACAATGTTGGATATTAACATTTTTGCAACTGATATACATATCGCTATATCGATATCGCTTTTTCTTCAGTATCAATATTTTAAGCGTCTATATATCAAGACATATCGATTATCCGAAAATTTTCTTCGTTGCATCCCTAGGTATGAAAATTGAAGGTTAGAATTTGTTTTATAATTGTAATTCTGGAAGTCGTGATTTTGTTCGACTTCTAACTATAGGATTTTTTTCGATGAGTCCGACCTAACTGCATCTTTCTGACACAGTAAGATTCCTTTTGTTTGTGGAATTGAGTTAATAAAAAAAATTTAAAACAACGTAACCTCAATCTTGTTGAAAATGTCGGTAGCGACTTTGGACACGAATGAGCATTTCGTAAATTTCACTAGGTAACATTTATTTTTACTACTATACAACCACTGCCACGTCTGCGTATACAACATACATTTAATATTTATATAAAGCACAATCCTTCTGTTCTTCCTATACTAAAACACTTTTATAAAAATAATGTAGGTACCTAACCTACTCACGAAAATACGTTTTTTGAGCAAAGCTAAGGTGGTTCTAGGTCTCAATTAGCCGACTAGTGCCACTATATACTTCACTCAATTTTCTATTGGATTTGTCAACTGTAACTAATTTTGCGACATAAGTATTCACTTTGCATATTTCAGGTCTGCATCATTAACAGTTGTGCATTTTTCTGCAAATTGGGCTGATCAATGTGGGCAAGTAACAGAAGTACTGAATGAACTTTCTAAACTTCCAGAAATACAAAATAGTGGTAGTAAATTTGGCATTTGTGATGCAGAGAACCTTTCAGAAATTTCATTACAATATAAGGCAAGTAGGTCAAATATATAGTTGTTACAAAATAATAACAGAACAAAAATTTTTATATTTTTGTATTTACATAAAAATATCATTTTCACATCCCTTACAACTTCTGTAGTCATTAGACTGAGATGTTGGTCATCCATTTGAGCATATTGTTGTTTAACATTGCCTTATCTATATGTTATCAGTATGAACTTAACTAAGATCATGTATTTTATCTAATATTAGAATTTTCAAAACAAGTTTTACTTTATTATATTAAATCATTCATAATATATAACATATAGCAGAATTCCTAATAAAATTACCAGTCTCATATACCTGAGATGGGACCTGGGTCATGATTTTTTTTTTAGGTATTTTTCTATAGGCTTGCTTTATGATAATTACTTATTCATTTTTGCATTTCTGAAAGCTGTTTATAATTTTTGTTATTTTTACAAATATATAGACAAGAATTTATAGTGACAGTGGAAGACTAGAAATGTAGTGTTTTCAACAGGAAATGTTTTTTTTTGTGGGTATAATTTTATGAATTATATCCTTGTTTTACAGATTGACTCTGTACCAACTGTTATATTATTTAAAAATGGATTGCAAGTAGATAGAATTGATGGTGCAGATGCAGCACAAATCACCTCTAAGGTGAAGTTACATAGTCTTGGTAAAGGAGTATCAACAGTGTCACCAGAAAAATTGGAAGATAGATTGAAGGCTCTTATTAATAGACACAAAGTCATGGTTTTCATGAAGGGTAATAGAGATACACCTAGATGTGGATTCAGTAGGACTCTTATTCAAATCCTTAATGGCACAGGGTAAGTGGATGGTAACACGAAATTTTTACTTTGTGAAAGATAATGAAGGTCAGTTTTTAAGATGATATTTTAATTTTCAGAGTACAATATGACACATTCGACATACTTACTGATGAGGAAGTCCGTCAAGGTCTAAAAGAGTATTCTGATTGGCCTACTTATCCTCAGCTTTACGTAAAAGGAGAACTAATTGGGGGATTAGACATTATTAAGGAACTTCAGGCCAGTGGAGAACTGGAATCCACATTGAATGCTTAAATAATTAATTAGATTCTTTTAATTTATTGAAATAAATGTCTCTGGGTTTTCATTGAACATTATCTGTAATTAAGATTTTATATATCAAAATATATACACATCACAGTATTACAGAAAGGCCAGTTAAGATTTTACCAACAAATCAATACTACCAATGAATTGAGAAATAAAACCATGATTTGTTTTAATTGTGTTACACAACCATTTCATAAGTGGAGTTAATCCCCATTTCTTACCAATCATCCTGCGGCATTGCCAGAAGATGATGTTAGCTTTTGTGATGGATTTGTCTATTTATGTACTCTAGTTCAGTTTGGCATCTAGAGAAATACCTAGGTATTGTCAAATGCTCCTTCAATATCTATGAAAGTGCCTAGACATATTTCCCTCTTTTTGAGACTTCCCCCTATCATACTTACTACTGAGTGAAGTGCGGATTCTATTGACTTGCCAGGTGCATATGCATGCTGATTGGGATGCAACGGTATGTTATTAAGTTGGTTGTCTCATGTAGGCAAAGGCGACCGTGCGACTGTTGGTCGCACAAAGGTTTGAGGTTGGTCTGGAGGAATTTTGTTTTATTCGAGTAGCGCCATCTGCCGCAAGTAAGACATCGACATCTACCTCCTGACTGATGTTGATACCACCGAGTCTGTCTGCCCATTCGTCAACCACATCCGTTTCACTACGACCCCCTTCGCTTAAGTCGAAGTCTCCGAGTTTTGTACTTCCATGGCCTCTTGCGTTGCTGTTGATGATGGTCCGGGTTCTGTGCTTGCTGTCGGGGCTGAAGTTTGGTCCTTCAGAAGCGGCAGGCTTTAAAGGTATTTGCCATTCTGATGCCGGAATCGAACATAAGGCGAGCCCATCAGATAGCAGAGTGGCCTACCTCTCGCTAGTATTTTTTCTGCCACGTCTCTTGTGGGACTGAATATGAGGAAGATGTTACCCTCTCCAGCGATGACCTTATGCAGGATCCATCTATCCACGTCTGCAAACTTGTTCTGATGCCTTAACATTTCGGCGTCATGTGCCCTTGTGACGGGCACAAGTAGTAGTTTTTTGTCTCAATTTGTCGTTGTGCCGTTAAGTCGTCCAACTCCGGGATTTTCATGGCGGTCACAGTCTTATTCACCCACTGTAGTGTTTTGGATGTCTCACATTAGAATCCCCGATACTGGGCTTCCCTTTTAGATTTGATACTTCGTCAAGCGATGGCCCCGCCTCTAGGGTCTCCATTACGACGGCTTCCTCCAGGGCTGCTAATACTTGCGAAGCCTGGGTTACTGTCAGGTCTTTTGGCTAGTGATAACCACTAGTAGGTTCGCTGTGGCCGCATCGACAAATTAGGTTTTTGCCAGTGTTTGACACGATTCCTCTAATTTGGATTTCTACTGCTCTGTTAGCGGCTCGTTTTTGGCAGCGATTGATTTTCTTTTAGGGCCGCCGTTCTAACCTAACTTATGTCGTATTTGGTAGCCACCCATAATTTTCATCACCAGCGCTGTAGGCTCCTTCGCGCCTCCGGGTCACAATCGGTCACAAATTTGAGTTGGTAAACAGGGGTACGAAAAACAATCTCAACTGCAAGGCGCAAAAACAATGACCGTTCTTCCGTACTAAAACACAGATAAAATTTAATCCATAGCAAGTTTTCTCTTAATAGATTACATCATTTTGCAGATTATTTGATTAATATCATGTTTTAAGTATGTTGACTTTATTTAACATAAATTTTCATGTTTTTACGTAAGTTTTTAATGTTAATCATGTAAGTTCCAACTTAAATTAATATTCATACACGATTGGCATCCAATTAAAAAATGTTGATAATAACTATTTGCAATCGCGTATGTTATAAAAATTATATTCGTAACATCTACAGCAAAATAACGCTCCGTATGGTATATTTCTAATATCTTCTTTTAAACACATTTATTTTCTAATGTCGTAATTTCGTATTAACTAGCTTTCCGCCAGCGGCTTCGCCCGCATTGGCTTGTATTCCATAAAAACCTTCCTTTTGAAAAAAACCGCATCAGAATCCGTTGTGTAGTTTTAAAAATTTAAACGTAGGTACAAAGCGATTAGGGTTCGAACGATACTTTCGATACCGAGTAGGTATCGTTATTTTCAAAAGTGATACTCGATATTACATCACGGTAAATACTCGCAAGTACTCATAATAATAGCCGGTATCAAGTATTGCTTGATACAACTTATTTAGAGGTACTTGGCTTCTACGACTGAATTTTTTTTCGAATTTGTTTTTTTTTTTAGGGACCTCAATACAATGTCCACTAATTTTATACATTAATTAAATAAAAAATAAAATATTTTTAAGAAAAATACATAATAAGTTGAATGAAATAAAAACAATAAAAATATATCAGATAAATATGTAAATTACCATTTTCTTACAAAGTTAAAATATTATGGATAGTATTTTATTCCAGCGTTGCTATTGCTACGGCAATTAAGTAATAAATAAAATATGTTTCGTTTTTTGTTACCTATATTCAATAATTTTGATTTTTAAGAACTTAGTTCTCAATGAAACTACTTAGAGAAAGTCCTAATCTCTGGCTGAGAACTCGAGGGAAGTTTTAAGTTTAGGTTTAATAATTAAACAATAAAAATTATGAAATTTGAATGAAAATTAAAACATGTTTATTTAATGTAGTTGTGACGGCAGACAGACGAATTTAGCTTTACTTTTGAAATACGGCAATTAAGTATACCCACCAGACACGGCAGTAAAAAAATGTCTCTGCCAAAACTGTTTAATTCGTTTCTCAGTCGTCTCCTCATTGTGTCCAAAGATAATTTAAGCAAATTTTCTATGTATGAACTTTAAAAAATCTAAACTTTAGGCATGGTTTAAATGTTGTCGGTAAGTACTCGATATTGAGTAGTATCGATACTTTGAGAGCGATACTTCTGTGGTATCGATACCATGTCCTTCGATACCACAGAGTACCCGGTATTGATGCTATACAGAGAAAGTGACTTTGTTTTATACTATGTAGTGATGTTCCCACTGCTGGAATTCAGTCCTTCTTTAAACGGACCTTCCGACGGAGAACGGGCCGTAACGCACCACGCGAGCCTATTGCGAATAAGTGGATATGGGAGGACCAACGGCTTAGCGTGCTTTCCAAAATACTCAAGATATAAATTCCTGGTCGCTCACCTTATAACCGGCCCTTACGAAAATTTTTATCGTGAGATATTATAATATCGATAGAGAACCGTTCAAATGCCTTCATTACTTGTAGAAAAAAAACATGGCTTTTTTTTTTTGTGTGTTCACCCTTCAGAGTAGGTAAAAGATTTCCATCCATACATATAAAAAATATGACATTTAGAAATAAATTTTCTGATCTACAGTAAAATCGGAGCCTCATGATCGATTCGGAAAAAATCAATGACGTAAAAATCCATCCGTTGCTCCTAATGTATCCTAATATATCTAAATTATTAGGCTAATATGAAACTGTTGGGGTAATATCGAATTATTTTATAAATGAAACTGCTAACTAATAATAATTTATGTTATTAAAAATCGAGTTTCTATAAATCGAATCGAGATAGGAATCACTATTTGGAAATGTCATTAGGAATGATCGATAGTAGAAAACATCAACGCTGACATCGGTGTCATCGTCGTAAGCCCAACATCGATGTGCGATATTTATCGAAAACTGAACATTGATCTTGGAAAATATCGATGTTTTTTTACAAAGAAATAAATTTTTATTTTATCGAAATTTCGATGTTTTATGTAATATCGATTAATTTAAATTTATATTAATATTATCAAATATTGAATAAAGCATTTAATATTTTATTCATATACATCGATGTTTAGCTAGAAAACATCGATGTGCCGATGTTATCGCAGTTAAAATATCGATGAATATCGACCATCCCTAAATGTCATTTCACTGCTGAAGAGTAATCGTCAATGTTTTTATTTTCAGCGATTTTTCTCCAAGTATTTCTTAACGACGCTTCATAAATTTTGTAATCCAAGTGGATTTAAATTTACATACAAGTTCACCTGTTACGCACCGTATAAATATGGAAAAATATTCACCACTTCATACAAGTAAGTACCATCCGTTACGTTCATGTTACGTGTACTTTTACAGTTGAATACTAATTTAATAGTATTGTTTCCAATGAACAGAAATGATGAGTAAACCAAGAACAGCAGGCGATGGTATGGAATCTGATGAATCCACAACAGAGAAAGGGATAAAAACTAGAACTAAGGAAGTTGACAAAAACATCCCCCTTTCAGGAAAACTCATACAAATATATCCTACCAATGTGTTACGTTCTGAAAAGAAAAAGTCGATAAATTCCAAAACTCCTAAATTCGTGCCTTATGAACCATATGCTGGTGCAGTGAAACCTATAACTCCCAACAGTGTTTCTAAAGGGTCTAAAAAATCAAGAAATAACATGGACATTAACACTCTCATATCTCAAATGTCTCAGATGAATACAAATTTAAATGAGTTCAAGCCTCGACAAAAACTATCTTCTAGTAGTGACAAAATAAGTGCTGAAAGTAATAAAGAATGTGCAGAAAAAGCTGAGATAGAAAAAAGGCTTAACCTCATCTTATCAGAAAATGAGTCATTGAAGGAACAACTGAAGCAGCAAGTTCAGGTTCTGATAGTTAAATAGTCATATCTATTAATCATAAGTTACATATCGACGGCGAAGTGCCAATACCTCCTATCTAACAATTTTCGAGAAAATGACTTTTTTATTTCATTGACGTTAAGGTCGTATACCGCATGGGTTGATGAAATCACCTATCCGTATTTTTTACGACAACTGGAGAAAAATGAATGTGAAAATATCTTCTAACTAAATTAGCGTATATAATTTATGGCAATTTCTCCTATCTACGTACAAGACTGCTACATCACAACGCGGAACATTGCCGATTAACTTTTCACAGCCGCGCCGCAGCTCGTGATATGGGTGAAGTTAGCGGTAGGGTTGCGTCGCGTCACTTGCGAGGGTGTAATATCAATCGTAAAAGCAATTTTTCAAAGTCATTATTGTTTTAATTAAAATCAATACCTTCTATCGTACAATTTATTTAATGAAATCACTGAGGAGGTTAAACCAATACCTTCTATCTAACCAAATACCTACTAAACGATTATTAATCAAATTAATATTTTATTGAAACCTAAGCCTGTCATATTGATATGTGCTCCATATAAATTGATTTCTTGATTTTAATGTTTGCAAGAAATTAAACATTTTTTTCACTTTGTGTAAAATTTTGTCTGTGTTAGTTAGAAGGTATTGGCACATCGCCGTCGATATGTAACAAAACTATGTAAGATGAAAATTGACCTTATGAAATTTTTATATCACACAGGTCAATAAAGAACTCAAGACTATGCTAGTTGCTTCTATGGGAGAAGATTTGGAAACACAAGTTCAGTCTCTGAATGAAGACAAGAAACATTTAGCAAATGCTTTGCTTAATTCTGCTCAACACCTCTCTACTCATCAGGTAATACTCTAAGAGCTAAAGAAATGATATTAATTAATTATAATGTTACACCAAAATAATACTGTACATTTATAAACAGGAACAGACGGAGTGGTTAGCAGGTCAATGTGAAGTTTGGAGGAGTAAATTCCTTGCAAGCAGGTAATTTCTATAAAATTATGACAATCTTATTCTTTTTAAATGTTATTTCATTTCTTGGCTGCTACTCTCAATAGTTCTGGGTTTTTGAAATCAATAGTTTTGTTTGGTAACACACAAAAACCCTTGTATAAGTTTAGTTTTTATATAATAGCACAAAAATTATGACATGAATTTGAAATCACATGTTTTTATAACCAAAAAGAGGTTTTATAAAGTTAACTATAATCTATACTAATAACCTGAAGATGAAAAAATTGAATGTTTGTTTACATTGTATAGGCTCCGAAACTACTGGACTGATTTGAAAAATTCTTTCACTTGTGGGTTATATAGGCTATAATTTACACCTAGTTTATCTACTAAAATGTGTCCACAACAGATGAGCATTTAATTGGATATTTAAAACAATGGGATATGTGAACTATCCAGATCCTGGAAATGCACTATTATTTACTGTCATTCCCAATTAATATATATATATTTTTATTTTGCAGTAATAAATGTCTAATTTTAGAATCTATCGCAATGCCTTTCGATAAGTTATGGCGATTGTGAGAGCGATTTATTTAATTATTTCACTTTTGACATTGCAATCGTTTTGGAACGAATAATAATTTTAATGACTAAGAAACATAACGTCTCAATTAAAATCAAAGTTATGATGTCATTCATTTCGTATTCTTCAAAAAGACTAGCGGTAGCGTGAAGTTCCTGAATATCTTTCAAATGTCAAATCGAAAGGGATTATGTTAGATTTTAAAATTAGGCCTTGGATAACCAATACCTTACTTTTCCTCATTAAAGCTGTATACCAAATTGTTTTACAGTTTAATGGTAGAGGAGCTAGCAAACTGTAAGAAATTATTAACTGAGAAGACTGCAAATCTTCAACAAGCAATAAAAAAAATATTGGATGAAAGATGTAGAGTGAGAGACATGATGCTCTGTGCCTATCGGAACTTGTACAGTCTTCATGAAAAGTTTCTAGAAAATATTGCCATCTCTGAGTATACAGGAACTAGCAATTTGTATAATCGACCTATAGGCAATTTAAATTTTAATGTGACAATGCCACATTCTACTAACATCCTCGACATGGCATCAATGAACTTGAAATTGTCTGAAAATATAAGTAGTAATGTTCAGAAGCAGGATATAAGTCACTTAGATAATTTGCTGACCATAACTGAAGGCGAAAAATATGCGGAAGATGTAAGTATTTTAAAAATTTTACGGGTGTACAGTGTCGCAGTAAAATTTAAAGCTGCTTCAAACACTAATACGTTATTATAACATAGCTTTAAGGCTGCGCTCATACGAAATGTAAAATCTGTAGCCTAATTGTCTAATTATAAAATCTATTACAATCCGTGATTTATTTAATTGTGTAACTTATAAAGTCATAAAAGCATGCAACGATGGTGATGAATGAATGATGAATTGAATGAAATTTGAAAAATTTACTAGCCCCAGATACTCTGAGATGTGACTCGAAACTTTTCGCAATCTGGATGACCACTTTAGCCACTGAGCTACCCAAGACCTAACAGGGCTGACGAATTTTTCAAGCACTTGATACTTTTTCTCTACTAGTGAGCATAATATTTTTCATTAAGAATAATTTCTAGTATAGCATCGGGAATGAATAATTGGTCAAATATAAATGTAATTATTATATTTGATCAATTTTACGTTCACAATGCTATACTGAAAAATAATTTTAATTAAAAATGCTTAAAAAGTCCACTTTGCCCCTGGCACTGAGATTCTTAAGCATTTTTCATTAAGATTATTTTTCAGTATAGCATTGTGAATGCAACATTGATCAAGTATAATAATAAGAACAAATTTTAATCTTTATCCAACATTTAAATATTTGTAAAAAATATTTTGAATATTTTTTATTTGTTTTTTTTTTGTTTTTAAATATTTTTAATAATTTCTTTCGGCTGTTTGGGTTAGTTTGAACAAGTGCTTTAAAATATTCGTCAGTCCTGTTAGGTCCTGGGTAGCTCAGTAGTTAGAGCAGTCGCCCAGATTGCGAAAGGTCATGGGTTCGGGTCCCATCTCAGCATACCAAACACAAAGTGATAGATTTTAAGAGTAGTCAATTAGGCCACTGTTTACACCACGGCTGTTCTATGTATAATTTTCTTTGCGTTTTGTCGAATTGGCGTGAATGTAATTGAAGTGAAGATAATTGTGTATAGAAATGCAATAAACTAATGCTCGCTCACAGTCAGCCGCTAACTATACGGTTGATTTGAACACGACTTATGACACTTAAGTATATAAATCAGCTCTAATTTATCTTTTAAATTTTTATTTTTCCATGTATAAAACTTCCATCTATTTATTATGATATATAATAACAGAAAATAGAAACAATAATATAATTTAATATTAACTCTCATCACCATATCATCTTTATATTGTTAGACCTAAAAATATAGAATACCATAGATATCACCATTTTTCGATCATATTACGGGAGTCACTATTCATCAGTGAGCTGTCACTATCACTGACATTGATATATAAAAATATCGCTCATGGTGAATTATCGAGATGAGAGAATCAGAAAAAAATAAACCTATTAGATAAAGTTGTGTTTTTTCATAGTATGTATAAACCAATATTTTTTCAGGTAATGGCAACACCAGTGGATGAGAAAAGAACGAATGATGAACCACTTAATGCATTGGTTCACCATGCATATAGCAGTAGTACAACTACTGCACGGCCAGTAGCCTCTTGTGTACACTGCACCGGTAGGGTACAGCTACTATAAAATGACAACAGAATTCTTATCGACTTATCAACGGTCCTTGTAATAATTATCTTATTATAATAAAAACCGAAAATTACTTCGTTTCTATTAGATAATTACCACATTGATGGTATGGTGCTATGTAAATACTATTTATTGAACTATTAGGGGGTAAAAAATAATGAAATGTATAATAAAATATAAACTTTATTGAAATATTTATCATCGTATTTTTATTTTCGATGAACCTAACGTAATTAACTAAAATACACATGCTTTTACACTTTATTCAAGAACTGGCATTGATGACTAGTCATGTCAAGTTACATTGTTTTCTATACGAACTGGCACGATCCATCGGATGAAGTTACGTCACGAAATTTTCGACAAACAATCGGCTATAATATTTACGAAAAACTACTATATGCAAAGGAATTACAGAAAATGGAGAGTCATTTTATTGAAAAATATTTTGAGACATAACTTTTATCACGGATCTAAAAATTATCACAATAGAAAGGAACATTTATATCTTGAAGCCTTGAACCAATGCAAAGTAAACAAAATTTGCAACTTTCAATCATTGTTAAATTTCAAACTAATAGCGCTTCTAAAAACTATTTCTGTTAGGATTGCAACTTTATACATCTCAATATTTTGGATTGTATATTACAGGAGTTAAATCCCTTTTGACCTAATGCATAAAAAGTAATAAAAACTTTCTCTTTTCATTGTGTATAATAATAAGAACGAATTTGATTTAAATTTCGACTTCATTTACGTCATGTGCGTCACTGGCGCCTGTGACTGTGCATGTTGTAGCATTTCCAATCCTGTGTAGTTGTACGCCAAGTAATCCCTCACTGACAAGTATTTAGCGCCTCCAAACCAGTCGATCATTGCGATCTGTGCGATTTTCAACTTTGCCACGAACCAGTTATGGTCTATAATCAACATAATGTAAATTAAAATCTATTCAATAAAAATAAATGTGGACAAAAATATTATATTCACTTGCCTGGAGGGAAGTTAGCAAAAGCCGGATGTCTTTCGAAGAGAGCCGCTTTGGCAAATGTGTACTCAGTAGTATTGTCTCTCACCTAAAACCGATAAGCAATTATTCTGCAGAATTTTATGCAAAGCCTTTGAATAGTTCTTGAGAAGTGGGAAGTATTTCTCAATCTGTACCAACTAACCTAGTCGTGACTAGCCATAAGATACGAGTACGACATCTTAGCTATCTTATAGCGATAGGTACATATTTCATTTTTTTTACTACCTACTTTGTTATAGTATATTTATGTAATCTGTTTTATACATAATTTAGTTTTTTTCTAAATCTCCACCTTAATGATGATTTTTTTTTTTTTTTTCATTTATCCTACCACCTAGGTATTTACATCACTACAGTTGACTGCTAGAAAAATGCCTTTTTATATTTGTAAATACTTCATTACATAGGTATCAATAAGCAATTAATAAGTTATTTTAATAAATAAATATAACAATTACCTTTCTCATTTTTCCTGACAGTATAAGTCTTGTACAACGGGGGTCCTCCGGATCGATGCCTTTCTTTTCACAGTAGTTAGTTTCCTCTAAAGACACCATAACAGTAGCTCGGCTATTTTTCTACATCATTTAAGACATTTTTTTTAAATATTATCTCTTAATATTTCAAAATAAATGACTATGAATGAAATACTTGATGATACTTGAAATAGATTCAGTGGCGGACTAAGGCTTTGTGGTCCTGAGGGGCCTCCAAAGGACTGCAAATTCCGTCGCCACTGAATAGATTCTATAAGAGATATTATAATACAATGGTCTTCAATAATAGAAAAGGTTACTTTAACATCTTTTATATTCAATAGGCAGGGGGAGTCCGGGAGACTTGCCCATAGGAGAGAGTTGAACCAGTTCTCAAAATTCAATGTAAATTTCACGCTAATGAAAAATCTTACTGTAATTTTCCTGTAACCTGTGTTATATTGAGTGCATTATTATAAAGTGTATTATTATAAATACAGTCGTAGATCATATACGGAAGGCCAATAATAGATTTGGCACTATTGTTAAAATGCCTGGTTTGTTTAGCTTTCAGGTTGCGAAAAGTTCTTTGATGACTGCAAAATAGATTTTAAATAACTAGAAGTTTTGATATTATGGCCATGTTTATCGACCTAAGTATTGTGTGTGTGTAAGTGTAAATTTTTTTTACAGTAATTATATACTTTTTCTGTAATAGAAATTTTATATCGAAGTGATGTGTGCGGGAGAATTTCTCATTACTTTTTCTGTGGTGATAATTCTTCTGTCATAATCATAATACTAGTTTGCACTCAATTCGTTATTATTAAAAAAAAACCTCGCCCACGTGGTCCGAGAGTACTGTGTGTACACTGGCAAAAAAACTGTCAGTGATAATCCACCTTTATATCATTGTCATAAGCTTATCAACGTCCCTATTGCTGGGGCATAGGCCTGTCCAATATGTGGAACCAATTATGAAAAATCTACCGGTTTGAATTAGTGCGAAATACTGAAGCTCCAAGTCATCCTTTACAAATCCAGTGAAAGACTGGATTTAGAAAAGGATGACTTAGAATATAATTACAATGACAAATTGAATTGTAAACAATAGATGTTATGGTCATGATTTAATGCCCTATGCGAACTAATACAGCCATTTTCATCCCATTATGTCCTTTTTTCGGGATAAGAGAATAAGAAAGACATATGCTGTCTTTTTTGTAATTCATGATTTTTGCGTATCTTTCACCGTTTACGCAGCGCACGCAAGGAAAGCTCTCAAAAAGTAAAATATTCTTCCGTCTTCGCAAAATTTTTCATTGCTGCTCCTTTTAGTCATAGCATGATGTTATACTATAGCCTTCATCTATAAATGGACTATTCAACACAAAAAAAAGTCGATTAAATAATTCAGTTCGAACCAGTAGTTCCTAAGATTATAGAGTTCAATTAAACAAACTTTAGCTTTATTATTAATATAGATAATAAAACCAGTAAACAGAAGGCAAATAAAATTCGGAATAGTTTTGATAATTTTTGAGAATAACGATAATGATTCATTCCAAATAATAAATATGTGAAAGCAAAACTATTATAAAGACTCTAATAGTCAGACGATACGGAAAACATAAACAAAATTAATTTTCTCAGACTCTTGTTCATATGTCCCTCATTTTTTTTTAGTTTATAAATAAACAGAAATCTGAAAATGAATATGAACTGATCCACTTCCCCGTTTTTACTTCATCAACTTAGCAATTTATAGTATTAAAATATTGAAAAAGTAACGATGCATAAACAATCCTATAATCGCACGTTGAGAATGACAATGTCACTAACCAAAAACGACGTATTTTTTACTTTTGACAACATTTTTCTTTGATAAGTATAGACTTTAAAATGCAAAGATCCCAGTGAACGTAGCTTGCATAGAATATTGGTGGCATAATGACGATACGTTGTTTTGAGGGCCTGATTACAATTGCTTGAACTTTAAACGCCCATTACTCAAAATCGCTTTTTTTGCATTGTGTCACTATCGTTCTCAACGTGCGATATAAAAAACATTAGTATTCAAATTATAAATTAGTCTCTATATCAAATCTATAAGAAAATATGATAATTCAAGGAAAAAGAGGTTCAAGTCCCCGAACTTCCCCTATGTTCATTTACAATAGGTAATTAAAATAATATCTTTTGCTTTATCTTCACATTCGTAAAACAAAGAATTAATGATCGTATGTTATGTTCGGAATGCTCTTAATAATGCTAAAGGCATATCGAAAAATTGCAACAATAAATTTCTAGATACTTACTGCTAAATCCCGTGCTGTGAAATCCATTGGTGACATATAGAAGTAAGGAATTCCTGTGGAGTTGGCAAGGGAGCCATCCACAATCGACTTGACATTCGAAAAAGGGAATCCTTTGATTGCGGGTAAAACAGATATAGTTGCTATGGACGCCCAATCTTAAATAATAGGAATACTTTTTATATGTGGTATGAATGATCTTAAATAGAATACATCTGGGCCGCGTTTCTCAAAACATAGATCTATTCTAATTCATGATGATAACTATAATTTCGTAATTGTAGTTATTTTTAAGAAATCAAAACTTGTATCTTTCGAGAAATATGCTCAAAACATAATTAACACGTCATTGTCTAGTCTTCATAAAATCAAAATACAGAGGATAAGAAAACAAACAAACTGGTTTCAAGTGTGAACATCACAGGTCCCAAGTTCGATTCCCGGTCGAGTCAATGTAGAAAATGAACTTTTATATATTGCGAGAGGTCTGGGTATCGTGCTACCTTCATTATTTCAGATTTCCATAATCTACTCAACGATATTCTTAACGAACAATATATATTTATAGATGTAAGCTAGGGTTTATTTACTAATAAAAAAAGAAGCTTAGAACGAGCGCTTTAGGTAAGCTGAATAATAGTTAGACCGAAACTATAGAACTTATTATAATGTCTATGAATACCTATACTTATCATAAAATTATTGTTTTACATACCGGTATTATGCAAGACATATCTAGCCATTGGGATCAGTTTATTATGATCTGGCGGATCTGGAATAGTGGTTGTTTTGTCTTGATAAAGAGGCATATGATTGGCAGTAGATCTGCGACTATTCTGATAATGATGAAATTGCTCATCATTTTGCCATTTGCATTCCCCGTATAGGCCAAGAGCTAGTACGATAAATATCGTAAATATAGTATCCATTTTCAGGAACCTGTATAATTGAAATAGGTAGGTAATTAATGACACAAAAGAATCGAAATAAAATAAACAATAGGCAACTGAATTTAAAGATTTCTTATTCTTGTTAAATTTTAATTAATTGTAGGCACCCTTAATAAATACTATAATGATAATTTACTGTAATTACAGGTGTAATCAAATTACTTTAAAATCTCAGGGGTGTTTTCGTTAGGTTCAACTTCGAAAAAGTGCCTGGTGGAATATTTGATTGATTTTCCATAAAACAATAAATTACTTAGGTATTCAACTCGCCATTTACTTATTTTACTTTAAGTCTTTGCCAAATTATTTAATAAAACAACTATTAACGACCACTACAACCAATGTTATTTGCTTCTATTAAGAGTAGCAAAAATATCTAAATTTGGAATCTATAAAAATATTCGCGCTTTGAAACCCGTTTAAGAATTACTTCATAAAGATCAGTTAATAAACTGAGAAAAGAAATAAATCTGAAAATCAACTTACTCTGTACCTTTCAATGTCTTAAAATAAACACATTTATTGTAATCACAAAACTGCGTAAAACAAATCCAGGGTTAGACAAGACACTACAAATGGACGTCCGTCGGATGCGTAGAACGCACGCGAATGAATGAGATGCGATCTGGATATCCGAATATCGAGGAACGCAGCTGCTATAACTTAATACGAAAACGAGAATCACACGCGATAACTAATGAATTTCAATGCGTATGAATAATAACAACACCTGTCAAGTACTAGTTTTAAACCTTGGCAAACTTCACTACAATGATTTGTATTTTTAGCTACAATGAAAAAATATTCTTCTCTCTTTATATACTGGGTTTTAACTCCTTTACGCGGTTACGTTAAAAGGTTATTGCAGGTCAGGAGAAATAGAATGCGTTATTCGGGATATTACAGGGATGTTATTAAATGATTTTAAATACAAAATTCATTCCATATTTTCGAAAATCTATTAATAACTCCATGACAGAATATCTAGATGGCAAATGTCGTTTTTTGGGCAGCGCACTAACCTCTACAATGCAGTAACATCGTTTTCCGAAGATATTGAAATTAAAATAAATATAAAATACTTTAAAAACCGGCCATGTGCAAGTCGGACTCGCGCACGAAAGGTTCCGTAAAGAAAACAAGCAAAACAATCACGTTTATTGTATGGGAACCCCCTTTAACATTTATTTAATTCTGTTTTTAGTATTTGTTGTTATAGCGGCAATAGAAATACAAGCTTGATAAAACCGGCTACGAAATAGATACCCGCATGTGGATGGGAAGAAGCCGGAATCCGGCACAGAGAGCGCCAGACCGGACAACTAGATCGTTCCTGCGATTTCTACTTATTCAACTACACATTATTACTTGGTGCTATTATATGTAGGTAAGTGGTTCAAATTAATATCGATGATGATCAAGTTTTCCGTTTTATTAGACATTACAAATAAACACATCACTAGTACGATAAAGCTCTTAGCAATGGTGTTTTGCAAATAAGGATAATGGTTGCATCAATTTATTAATACATGTAATAATTTGCTAATTTTAATTTATATTTATTTATTTATTCTTTATGCACATAGTACATAATGTACATAGCCGCACTTAATGCCTACGGCATTTTCTGCCAGTGAACCTTAAGGTAATACGTGGTCGGGTGCACGCAAGAAAAAATATTATAAGAATAGACTAAACTAAATAACCTACTTAATATATATATTTTTTAAGATACATACAATATAATATTACATAGAAATAGAATACATACATACATAAATATAAATACAATATGTTAAATACATACATACACGATTAACCATTAAAGGAATCAGCTTACTCTAAAAATAACTTTTAGTTTTAAACGCATACCGACTGGTAGACATTCTTAGATCTAAAGGAAGAGAGTTCCATAGGAGAATAGACTTAATAAAGAAGTAAGAATAAACTACATCAGAGCAATGAGAAGGACACACGAGCAAACGATTAGAAGCAGAACGTAGATTTTTAGTGTGACTTGTGGAGAAGTATTGAAAGTGGGGAGTAAGATAGGAAGGAGCATTAGATGAATCTAGTATAATGAAAAAAGGGTGATTAGAGACCGCATATGTCTGCGCTGCCGAATACACATTTGAGTAATAATCGGTATTCAGATACATGATCATACTTTCGTAGATTATAAACGAATCGTATGCAGTTATTCAGAAGACGGTCAAGTTTATTAAGTATATCTGCATTCAAATCGAGATAGCATACATCACCATAGTCGATTATGGGAAATATTAAGGTCTGCATAAGCATTGCCTTAATATTAATCGGAGCGGTAAAGAGCTCGTAGCACTCCAGTAACTTAATATATTAAAATCATAATATAATCCTATATTTTAATGAAATAAATCTATTAAAACCACTATAGTTAATTTTTCAAATGTCATTGTAATATACTATAAAAAGTTATATAATACATTATAATAAGTATATAATTAAATTTATCTCAGTTCATAAACGATAATAGCGTCACGTATGTGATAATGAATATAAACAGACACCCTGTTCACGTAATTTGATAATAGCCTCTTATTGATTACTGGACTATAAGAATTCATATATTCTTCTATCAAAATAGCGACAATATCTGTAGAATGTTGGTATATATTGATTACAATAAAATGGCATTAAGTTTTCATAATTCGGTCTGTAACGAAATGACATCGCGCATAAATATTACTTATAAAACTTAAACTAGTTTTTAAAAACAAAATTAAATGTAGTTTCAATAATACTATTATTTTTTTTTATAATAAGACCGAATAAATTAATATTCGTTCATAATATTACTGACCGGGCGTTATTTAGATTCGTTGTGTCCGGCAATGAGGGAAAGGGACAGAAATCGGGGCAGAGGATGGCAAATCGCGCGTCAGAAACTGTTTTTAATATCTGAAAAATCTCTTAACATTGAAATGAATGACCTAAGGTTTATCAATTTTCAAATAACGTGTTTGTCGAAAAGATACACAAACTATAATGTTGTTTTTATTAATAGGTAGTTTCAGAGTGATAGCCATTTCCCATTGGCCGATAAAGTCTGGGCTTCCGAGGGAATCAAAACATTGATATTTAGAACTATAAATATTGATTTCAGAGATTTTCCTTAATGTTTGTAAACATAGTTTATGTGTATCTATGATACAAACAAATTAAACTTAAGGTATTCCTATATTCCTTCAGTAGGTTTGAAATATACACAACAAATAACAATTTTCTGCGTGCATTAGGTGCGCACTACGCACCTAATGATAATAGAAAAATAGAATAGTTACGTATATTTTTGGCTCCAATTAAACAAGAAATGGCTAAGATTATAAGAGTTAAAGTTGAATTCATACAAGTTAAATAATTCAATAATAATAAGTAATTCATTAATAATAAGACTTACGCCCCCACCTAAAAATTTTCGGCATGATCTGTAAGTCGATCATGTCAGACGGCAAACCGATTTCAGACTTAATAGAAATAATATATTAGATATCATATACATAGGAGCTTTAATAAAAGATATTGTTTGAAATTTTCGTTTATTTTGAAAATTGAAGCATACATAAAATAAACCAGATACTCTACCGGTTACGTAGTCCATATATCATTCATACATGCATATTTGCTAAAACGTTATGTTCCACACTTATTGCAAACTTATCGATGACAAATGTAAATTATAAAATATTACGGTACATCAGACAATAAACATAAGATCGCAAATGTATGTTTTAATGGTTGAATTTATCCACGACCGCATTTTAATGCATTATTCGGAACCGCAGATGCAGTATTATACAAATATCACATCATACAGAGACAAAAATTAATTGCGTCGCATTCTTTTAATGCGACTAATAACATTGAAACTGTGGGCTTATTGTCTTATTTTAAAATATGTCGCAATCTCGCAAAAATACTTTTATCTTCTATGCTTCAAACTTTCGTCCATGAGATTGTATTAATCTACCGCTGTTGTGTACTCTTGGTAATTTGTTCCTTGAGCATTAGTATACTGGCGCGTTGTTCAGGCGGCAGTAACGCGATTTGTTCGTCGGAAAGTTGTAGCACTTGCATTATCAGTGCAGCCTAGAAAAATAATTAGAAATGAACCGATGAGGTGATTACACGTCTTTTTGGAGTATTAAGATCAGTACCAAAGACCGTATTCCCAGGCCCGATTCTGCATTTTTTTAACCAGGGCAAAAAATCGTATGTCGCCATTATACTCTAATCCCCCCAGAACCGGACCTGCATAATATAATATATTTTGAAAACCTCCGTAGCAGTATTCGCACACTGGGTTCAAAGTGCTGCCATCTCTGAGGACACCGGGTTCGATTATCGGTCGGGTCAATGTGGAAGATAATATTTTCTAGCCTCGGGTCTGGGTATTATGGTGCCTTCTTTATTTCAAACACTCAGTAATACGAGGGCTACTCATCTTGGAATCTGAGCAATGTATGTGACATTGTCTAAGATTTAATTATTAATTTAGTATACAATGTATTATAATCTAAATAAATAAGTAAAGTACTATAAAAAAAGGTTTGCCTGAAAGAGGTCGCTGTTGGAATTAATACGCCTTATATTATTATGTAATAAATACATAAAAAATGATTTATTTTCCATACCTTTTCTTGATCGGAAGCTCCAGGTATGCCCTGTATAGTTCTGGCCTGTGCCATGCTCGGCATACCAGGTGGCATTTGTTCTGTTAACAAGGAAAATAATGTGCTATTTAATTAAATACATATTATAGAGCAAAATATATAAGTATAACATAAACGTGGACGCAACATTCCTTACTTATAAAAAATACGAGTGATTACATTTTGACATGCTCTTTTTTTATATTATACAATATACTAGATATGCTATAGAGGATATAACATAATTGCTTTTTTGGATATGTTATTAATTAGAAATTAATTATTCCGTAACACTTTCACTATCACGTCCTCTAAAGACGGTACCCAAAGAGTATAGACTCTCGCCAGTCTTCTTTACAACTTCTTTTTGTATGACATATCGGTAAAAGTACCGAATATCGATTAAGTACCGTTTTGTGCAACATTCAGGTGACTTACGTGGAGGCATTTTCTGTTGATTCCGAGGATCGTTGGAACGCACTCTGGGATCAGCATTGAACTGCGTGTTGGCCAGACGAGGATCACGTGGGAAACCACTAAGAAAAAATTACAAGAAAATAACATCACGATACACAATTGTCTTAACGGAGTCTAAATTTCTATTATAGCTTAATTCACTTTATGATACATTATAATAACATTATGATAAAAATTATATTAGTATATAGGCACATTAAGTTCCAACGAACGTGGCGCATGGTGAATATTAATTTGCGCTGAAATTACTAATTCCGACAATTACCCATTAAAAATTATAGTTTTTGGTTCGTTTTGTTTCAATGACCATAAGGTGTAAAATACAACGCATTAGGTGTCCGTATCACGTACCCTAAATGCGCAGAGATTTTAGTGGATCACCCGATGGCGTGATACTTAAATCATTGTAATTGGTCGACAGTTGACGCGCTTCGAATACCAAGCTTCAGCGCAGGTACATAAGTGAGCCACTTCAGTTGTACAGGGTGTCTGGTGGCAAATTTATATTTTTAAATACGATTATTTCAAAACTAGTGGACGCCCGCGACTTCGTCCGCGTGGAAGTCGGTATCCCGTGGGAGTGAGAAGTTTTCCCAGTAAAAAGTACCCTATGTGTTATTCTGATGTATAACCTATATTGCTGTAAAGTTTTATCCAAATCCGTCCAGTAGTTTTTTCGTGAAAGAGTAACAAACATCCATACATCCATACTTACAAACTTTCGCCTTTATAATATTAATAGGAAGTAATTAACTGTGCAGGGAGAGGGTAGCGGCGTTGGAATTATCGATCGTGCGGATTTGTCAGTCACGATGTCGCAGTGGTCGAGTGACTATCGTGTGGTCGCTGTGGATACATTTTTTAGGAGTAATGATTCTTACGTAATTGCACGTCGACAATTTTGTTCTAAGTTCGGTATTCGGCGAATACGTGATGGACCGAGTGTAAATTTAATTCATTCGTGGGTGCAGAGATTCCGGGCAACTGCTTCGGCTATGAATGTCCCACGGCCAGGGCCCAGTCGATCTTCAAGAATTCCCGAAAACATTGAACTGGTTGAAAGCAGTTTACGTGAAAATCCGCGACTTTCAATACGGAAAAGAGCAGTCTCACTGAGACTTCCAAGAGCGATTATTCATGAAATTTTAAAGAAGGATCTGAGTTCCATCCTTATAAAATTCAAATCGTTCAAGAACTGAAAGAAAGTGACTTTGATTTACGAAAAAAAAATTGTGAAACGATGATGTTGGAGCGTTTTCGCACTGTAAATCCCATTTTTTGGAGCGACGAGGCTCATTTTCACTTAAACGGCCACGTCAACAAGCAAAACTGTCGTTACTGGTCTCCAAGAACCCGCAACCCATGATTGAAACATCAAAAACCATTGCATTGCCCCAGGGTAACTGTTTGGTGTGCCTTATCCACGCATGAGATAATTGGACCATTCTTTTTCGAAAATTCTCGAGGCCAGGCGACGAATGTCAATGGTGAAAATTATCGACGCATGATTACGGAATTATTTCTGCCAAAACTGCGAGCTCATTCATTGTGCTCTTCACACACGTGGTTTCAACAGGATGGGGCGACAGCACGCACAGCCAAGCTTCGATGAATTTGCTTCGGGAAAATTTTCCCTAAAAATTGATCAGTCGCTTTAGGGACATCCCATGGCCACCGAGGTCGCCCGATCTAACTTCCATGGATTTTTTTTTATGGGGCTACCTCAAAGAGAGGGTTTATAACAACAATCCCCAATCTCTTGTGGCTTTAAAAGAAAACATTCGTCGAGAAATCAGCTCAATTGAACCAAGTTTACTGCAGCGTGTGGCGCAGAACACAAGGCTCCGTTTTGAACAGTGTGTTCAACTCGACGGCGGACATTTGGATGACATACTTTTTAAAAAATAAAATCCGCATTTGCATTCTATCGTTTAATACTCTTAATAAAACTTTGTGTCAATTATTACGTTTTTTATTTAAGTTTGAAAATATAAATCTGCCACCGGACACCCTGTATATACATATCACTGAAGAATACTCAAAATCAGCTGTATTGATTGTTTTATATTAGTAGATTTAAGACGGCTTAATTACTTAATTTATTCGTATTATAGTGACAAACTCCACCATGAAGTTTTATATATGAGTTACGTCAAGCTGCTAAACATTCCTTTTTCCTGACTGTACAGTCAACTCCTCGTCAGATTATACGAGTTTAAATTTCCCCACTCGATTTTAATTAAACCTTAATATATAAAGGGTAGAGGACAAAGTCCATTGCAGAAATTTAACATATTGTGGTAACCTGACGTACAGCCGTGTGTACATTGCATATTTCGGAGATTAATTTTTATTTATATAGATATCTAATATTTAAATGTGTCGATATCAAAATACCTAGAACTAATTAGTAAGCTATTGATTAAACTTGAAAACTAAAATTGTGCTTTTGTAATTTTTAATATGCTTTACAATATATGAATAGTTAAAATACGGTTTTCCCGGAAATAACGATCACGAGCGACTTTGTAATCCGGATTTAATATAAAACCATATTACTGATTCAGTCTTCCTCATAAGTGTAGTGCAATAGGCTAGTTGACTACTTTTTTATTTTATAAATAAATAGTTCATTAATATCTGAGAAATATAACCGAAGTAATAGCATACTTTCGATTAACAGTTTCGGAGATAAATAAACTTATTTTGTAAAATATTTATACATTATAATAGTTTATATTAGCCAAATATACATAATAGGTTGGAGAAAAAGTTTATTCACATTTAACTAAAGTATGTAGTATTTTGTTCCAGTTTATTCGATAAATTTTTGCCATCTAGCAGGTGGGGCATGATCCCATTGCTATAGAAGTTTTGAGGCTTCTGATCAAAAAACCGCGACAAGTCTTCGCGTGATGTTAACTTGACACTGCCTAAAGAATTCTGAAGAGATCAAAACAGATGGAAATGTGAAGATACAAGGTCAGGACTATACGGTTGCATTAAAACCGTCCAGAAAAACTCTCTTAATTTTTGCTGAGTGGCAAAAGATGTGTGAAGTCTAGCGTTATTATGATGAAAAACCACACCCCTTCTATTGATTGATTCTGGCCGCTTTCCCTCGACTTCTTGCTTTAACCTCATCAGTTGTTCGCAGTAAAGTTCAGAATCAATGGTCCTGCCTGGTGGTAATAGCTCATAATTAATAATGCCCTTCCAATCCAACCATACACACAGCATCTCCTTGTTGCGAGTTAAGTCTGTGAACCTGACCGACCTTGGACCGCGATCTTTTTCGCACGTTCTTGTCGTACGTGATCCACTTTTCATCACAAATGAGTACAAGTTTACAAGGTTTCTTTCACAGAGCACGCCAGGTACCCAAATATCCAACATTTTTATGTAGCTTTCAAATGCGTCAAAACTGTTTTATGGTCAATTCTCAATTCTTCAGCTACGTCGTGACTACTGTTATGCTGATCTTACTCCACTTTTTCAAAAATGGCGTCTATCTTACTTGTAACAGGGCGACCGGAGCGAAGTGCACCTTTGACATCAAAATTTCCGCGCAGAAAACGCTTAGGCTGCGCTCAGTTTGGACGCGTTTTCGTACGAATTTGACTCGTGCGTTCACGTACGAACATGCACGAATAATCCCGACCTTAGAAGTACTATCGAAGCGCTCCGACTGCGTGCGAGTTAGAAGTGCGTATACGTACGTATAGTTACAACGTCAGAAACCAATCCGAACTTGTTGGGATTTTATAACTTATTCGTACGTTTTTTCTTAAGAATGGATGTAGAAACATTTATTAATTTAGTTCACAGTAAGAAATGTTTGTGGGATCAGAGTGATTTAAGTTACATAACCATGAAACAATTCAGCATTTTTATTTAAGTCTTCCATAATATGATGAAATTCGGCGAAATCATTTCTTTTCAAATATATTTCACGCACCCATTCGGATCTTCGACGGCGACGACGTTGCCGCAGTCTTCGAGTAATAAGAGAATTATCTTGAAGGTAAAGATTATTCATCGCGCTTCAACCAAAGAGGACTTAACGAATGCAATATCACCGGAATAATGATTTATAGACGGACAAACACATATTCAGTGTGAACACTCAATTCGTACGACCACATTCGTACGTTTACGTACGATACGAATTCGTGTCCAAAGTGAGCGTAGCCTAAAACCAAATTTGTGTTACTCTCACAGAAACTGCACTACGAACATAAACGTCACAAATATTTCATACCTTACGTGGCCTTTTTGTAAAAAATTAAATATCTCGAATTTCTTCATTAATTCACTTATTTTGACAATAAGAAATACAAATGAAAATCATTCAATTTCTTACATCTCTTACAGTATTATTTACATAGAACTGAACGAGAATATTTGATTAGTGACCAGACCTAAATTAGGAATGTGTTTTTTTTTTACTTTTATGGCTATTGACATTGGATTAGTGTCATTGACAGATATATCGATCTACTTTATCGATATATCTGCCAATAATACCCACCCGCAAAAATAAAAACAAGGTATGCATGCTAGCTAGCTATCCCATAGAAAACTATCATTACAATAATATTGTAATCCATGCAATTGAACGGAACATAGGACATTAATAAATTTACTATCTAATCATGAAAAATAAATCACACGATGTATTCATAATAAAAACAAAGGGTTGTGCAAAATTAATGAATATTGTACACCATAAAGAAGACATATATAGAAAACATAAATGTATGGTGTAAAATTTGACTTACATCTCCTTAAGTTGTTCCATGGATGTAGCGAGACTAACAAAAACATTGAGTTTTAATAAGAGTTTCTGTTTTAACATGCAATATTTTAATATATGGTACTGGGTTTCCCCAGTGGGCGACAACAATTATTCTTCGTAAAATTCATTTAGAGATATTATGGACTTCTTTGATAGTTTTGATTAGGCAAAGTCTATTACAGATTGTATACAAAAATTTCAAAAGTAATATTTTATTAATTGGTCAGTAGTAATTATGGTAAATAACTTTATGTCCATTTCTATCGTATCTTTCATAAATAAATGGTTCGCAAAGGGTTAACTTTCAGATTATAAAAAAATCATTGCGTCTCAAATCTCTATGTGAAACATTTAATTTACAATGTACACACATATTATAGATATCGCCATCAGTTTCAATTAAAATAATCACATTAAAACTCGTACGAATTAATAAGACAACCGAGGACCTATTACATTGTCCTCGAACGAAAATTACTAATCGTTCTTATAAATTTTGTTAAAATTTCATTCATGAAGATTATCTGTGCACCAGAGCAGTGTTAGGATCTAACTTCGTTATGATTTTAAAAATAGACGAAATTTTGTTTTCGAAATAGAACAGGCCTTCAGCAAAGGGATTCCTTAAAAATCCGAACCCGAATTTGAATTCACTTAGGTGTCCGAGTTCACCTCGAAAGCGACATTCGCTTAACCGTGAATTAGTATTAAAATTCCGTGGCGTAAGTGACACTACACAAGTGACAATTTCGAAATGACATAGGGATAAAATATCCGAGACACGTATAAATCAATCAATCTTTTTTTGTATTTTTATACAAAAAATGCAGTCAATAAAATTCCTACATTAAACGACGTGAATTTGATCACCTTTTGAGTGGATTCAAATTCGGGTTCAGATTATTACGGAAACTCTACAGGTGTTATGTTTATACGTGTGTTCATTTCCATCGGGTTTCGACTTCTCTTGGAGTTTGAGCAACGAATATGATGTTATCTAATATATTTGATCGTTTCGAAGACTTACCTGTCCTGCTGTATCGATGGCGGTGGTACAGGATGCGGTGGCATCGGCAAACTGCGCATATCCTGGTCTAATAGCGGCGGAACCACAGGAGCGGGCGCGCGGGACCCACGCAAGTCCACATCACCCATTGCAGGTCGAGCTTATCAACAATATTATATGCAATTTCAATATCATTCATTCAGACTAGGCTTTTACCCTTTTCAATGTCGAAAGCTCTGCTATTGGTTCAGAAATCTACAGCGAGAGACTTTGTACTGAGAACAACCTATAATAAACTCGGCCAGGGCTGCGTTTTTCTACCTATTTTATTTCAAACAGAAACGTCTAATTGGAAAGGATTTCATTAGACTATGAGGCCAGTTTCCAATATAAAAAAAAGAACAGAAATATAAATAGTTTTTCGATAATTGATTATGTATAATCAAAGAAACTTGATTATATTAAGTAATCCAGAGCAAACTCATCTCCAATGGCAACACCCATACAAATGATATACAAAATAATAAGCGAAAATTAAAATACTTACGTGGGAACTGGTTCGGAGGAGGTACAGGATTCGCCAGCAATGGTGGCGGTTGTGGTTGAACTATAATATTAATTAATAAAATATAATACAATCTGCTGATAAAATTGAGTAATAATTTATTTTTTTCATATAACATATAATCTATATGACAAATATAATAACAAACCTGGTGGTGGATTACTGGGCATGTACGGGTTGGGTGGAGGCTTATCTCCTGGCTGTAATACTGGAGGCACAGGGTTTGATGGATGCAGCATGCTCTAAAGAAAAATGCAAAAATTTATACTATAATATAAGCAAACATAGTTTTAGAAATACTAAAGATTTTACATCACCATAACTGAAAGGTGATTGTTTTGAACATATTACTAATTTATATTTTCTTTTAAATCTTTCTGACTTCCTAGTAGACACACTGCAGCAGTGGGTAGTTTTAATTATTTGATAATAGAAACCATTTTTTTTTCAGAATCAGTATTTCTTAATAACTTACAACAGCAGTAGCTGGATCCACTATCCTCATTATAACTTGAGCTTGCAGTAAAGCATAAGCTAGCTGAGGATTTTGCAAAAGCATGTTCCTTGCTTCTGTAGGATTATTCTGTAAACATAACCAAGTGTGGTATATATTATAGATATAGATTTAACCTTTAAAAAAAAACATGAATGACTTTAAAATTAACACATTTATACTTAATAAAATAATATTTTGAGCACCAGGAATTTCATTATGAAATATTTAAATGTTTGTTGGTTTATTTGTTTATTACGATTGATTAGGCCCCAAAACTACTCAACCAATTTTAAAAATTATTTCACCAATGGGAAGGAGTGACATAGGCTCTAACTTACATGAGCAAAATTGAGGGACAGCTAGGATGTAAATAATAATTGTTTCATTGGTTATTTACCTGAATGCAAAGCTTCATTTGTTTCATTAATTCAAACATTTGTTCAGGAGGTAATGTCGCCACAGCTTTGCTAATTGCTTCAGGTGCCTTTTCAGGTTCTACTGGATCACCATATGGGTTTTCAACCTGTGAATTTTTTTTTTATTTCACTTCTTTAATATCAAACTTAATATCAATTTTAGATTAGAAATAAAAATGTGTTTATGTAAAATGAGTTTAAGCAAAGTATTGGACATTCGTGATGACGGCAATGGCTTTGCAAGCCATTTTTATGAATTTTTAGCTTTATTGTTTTTTATTACTATCTCTTCTATTGTGTTTATGTTCAACAAAGTGGTAACTATATAAATATAAAATTTCTCCCTAATTTTAGAGCTGGGTTAGGCTAGGTCAATTTCATACTAGGTATGCCTATTAATACCTAATCCACCTATTTTTTTATGGTTATTGCAGTTGCTTAACTATTCAAAACTTCACTACATTGTATCAAAATTGAATATTATAATATGGAAAAAATTACTAGGCGGCCCCATAGCAGAAGGGTTTTGATCTGTCTGCGACAGATTATAAAAACCTGAAAATAAAATTCTGTTTCTGCTAGTGTAATTTTTTTAATTTATGTAAGACTGCCAAACTGTCTGACCTACTCGACAGACCTACTCGGCTGTCTGCGACAATGTCGCAGTGTCGCTCGTTGTTCTGCCTTGGGGCTAGGCGGCCACAATAAAAAGGTAACAGTAACTGTTTTATGGTCTTAGCATGTTGTTATTCACTATAGTTTTCTCTGATCTGGTCAAGCAATAACAGCAGATGTCTATTGTGCTAAACTCTGAACAATGTTGGCAAAACTAGCAGTAAAACAGCCCTGACTCATGAATCAATCTTCACCATTATTGTTCCATGATAACGCGGGACCTCATACAGTACGAGAAACCGTTTTGACCCTTCAGGAACTGCAGTAAGAAGCCATTGGTCATCCTCCATATTTGCCAGACCTTGCTCCAACAGACTACTATTTTTTGTGCAGTCTAAGTCCTCAGAATTCTATCGCAAAGGCATAAATGACCTTCCTATTAGATGGCAGCAATGAATAATAACAGATAATAATGGTAACTATTTTGATTAAATAAATAATATTGATTTTCTGTACAAAACGGCAATTTCATACTTATCCCCTATTATTATTTTATAGTATTGTGTTTATTTAGTATGGGGATCTGTGCTAGTAAATATACCTGACCTCACCTAGTATAGATTAGATACTGGCGAATGTATATGCATATATGCAAATTCAACGAAGAATTTAAAGAAATACTGTGTGGATTAAATATTTTGCCTAGTCCTATTCTAGTATATATGTCTCACCTCACCTTATATTAGTAGTATAACATAATAAGTAGTGAAACTATATTAGTAGATTTATATTACTGACTAGCTAGTCAATCTATTAAAGATATAAAGTAATAATAAAGTTGAAAATTGTGGAGATAAATAAGAGAGTATAACACATGCATGCAATTACGATCTATAAGTCTCTAACATAGTGCTGAAATCTTATAGAAATAAAATATTTAGAAAATTATAACAGGTGCAGCCTAGTACTGTAAAATACCCAGTAGATAGATAGATCTATTCTAGTAATATGCCTCACCTCTAACTAATTTATCTTTTTCTTTGATTAATGTAGAGTCCATACATTACTGTTGATAACAGCTCATTGTGTATTAAGGCTTTTTATACTAGATATAGTGTGAAATGCAAAGATAAAGTAAAATTCATCTAATGTATTTTAATAGTAGGCTACATTCTATCCATAGTTGATATTAGTTAAAGTAACAAATACCTGAGGCCCTTGCATTAGAGCTTGCATTTCCATCCTCGATTTTTCTGTACACGCATTGTCGACCCTAAGGGACCGACCACCAATTTCATAACCATTAAGATTTCTCATAGCACTCAGCGCAGTCTCTTGATCCTTATATTCACAAAAGCCATATCCTTTAGGTTTGCCAGTTTCTCTATCAAACACTAGTTTGAATGACAGTACAGGACCGACTTCACTAAATATATCTTTCAGTTTCTCTTCAGTAGCTTCGTAAGGTATATTTCCAACTAAAACAGGCAATCATTAATATGTGAAAAATAATGCTTAACAATATCGCAACATAAAATACTTTACATACCGAAAACTGATCTCATGGATTTATCCATGATACTCTGCTCTTCCTTTTCTTTGTTTTTATCCATTTTGTAAAGCTTTCTTAATCAATCTACGTCTGAAAAATTAATTCGTTAGTTTTGGATATCGACCCAAGCTAATTTTCGATAACCTACAAAAAACAATTGGACTATTAGAGTTTTGACATTGTCAAATCGTAGACTTTTTTTTTTAATTTTTATTTTACAGCATTGGAAACATCCATACAGCCACATCTTTAATACATTGTTTTTAATTTTTTTATTATCCAAATCGAAATCCTAAACCAAACTAAAATATAAAACAAATTGTATTATGGCTTGGCTATATAAAATACTCATTTACTAAGGATGTTCTACAGAGCGGTCCCCCGATTGCAACGAGTTTTTTTTAGTTTTCAATGTTTTTTGTGGCAGTTATTATTTTTTTCACATGATTTGATTTTTGCTTTAGTCAACAAATTAAAATTTCCGATATACAATAAAGTCTGGAATCAGCTAAAAGCTCACTGACGTAAGTAGAACTGCGCTAGGGCTCATACTTATATTGATATAATGAAAAACGTATTCGCAAGTCCAAGCATTTTTTTATTAATTACGTAACTTTTCTTAATTTTTTTTCATTAACATTTTGAAACTATGTAACATAAAGATAATTAAAACTAAATATCTAGCAAAGAGGTTCATTGTTATAACAGATACAATCCGGAAAAGCTGGTGCGTCACTAATAGATTCTATTTTATCTTCGATCAACAACATCGAACTAACTTTTCAAATTAAGAGAAATATAATTACCCTATGATAAAAGCAAAAGATATAAATCACGAAAGATTAGGTTGTAAGGGTAAAGAGCCCATTGCCGTTAAAAATTAATGAGGAAGTATTTAAAAAAAAAACGAAAGCAGTGAAAAAGCACCTCCACTAGATGGCGACACTAGCAAAAGTTGATTTTTACAGGAAACGAATGGATCAACGACAGTCATTTCCGTTCCGTTTAATTAACATATTGAAAAACTGAGATTTGAAAAGTTCGAAACTTATATATCGATACAAATACAAATAAGTAAAAATAGAATATTAGTTGTTTATTGAGTTTTGAAAACTAATTTAATTTTAAATTTGAAAGAAAACCGGAAAGTTTGTCATGGAGAAATCAAGAACGTACCGTAACGACATCTAGTTTGATTTCAGGAACTAATGTTTTTTTTAAATACTTCCTCCTCATTAATGTTGTTTCGAATTTTTACTTTTTTGTTGTCTCATATTTACTTTAATGATAGGTAAAGAAAACTCCATTAGTTCCAACAGGTCCACAAAATATTGTCGGGTGCGAGTCGCGATCAAAATGATCGCTAACTGCCGCAATGATACTTGTGTACCACATTTAATTACAACACTACCCTTCTCTGATCAAAAAATCCCTATGGTTGCTGTTAATTAGGGCTCGAAGAATGGGCTTCATAGACAATTGCATAAATTCTCTTTGAATGCAACAAAGAGACCTTTAGAGTATAATATATAAGCTAGAGACAACGAGGAAGTATTTCAAAAAATTACTTCCTAAAATAAAACTAGATGTCACTATGATACTTTCTTGATTTTTCCATGACAACCCTTCTGGTTTTCTTTCATGTATGAAAGTAAATTAATTTTCATGTCTGTTACAAGAACAGACAATACCAATTTAGATACTTGGTTTTATTATGCTTTAAAACAGAGCAAATTATTTAACATAAGAGAGTATGACAATATCAATTTATAACATATGTCATCATTGAAATATAAAGTATAGAACTTTTAGCAAAGAGTATGATTATAAACTCAAGGAGTTCACATCATTCACCCTGTGCATTTTTTTTTTTAACCACAGTCGAAGCATAATCCTGCAGATACGGCGGAGGCCTTCGCTCCCGAGAAGAACGACGTAGCTGAGAGTCTTCAGGAGATGATACAAGTGCCTCAGGATGCAAATCTATAGATTGTTCATTTTCTGTGAAAGACTCTTGATCAGGAACTTCCTCTGGGTCTTCAGTATCCAAAAATACGTCATCGTTGTGCGGTATTGGGGCCAGCGATCTATTTGAAACTGTTGTCTCACGTCCATCAGGCAACCTCACAAAGGAGTAGGCCGGATTGCTCTGAAGTAACTCTACTTCCTCGACGGCTGAATCATATTTAGAATTTCTAGCGTTCTTTTTCATAAATACCGGCCCTGGTGACATTAACCAGGTTGGCATGGAAGAACCAGTGCATGAGCGCCGAGGATGATTAAACATCCGTTCGTGAGGGGTTGTGTTTATCCCTGTAGATAGTAATGACCTTATAGAATGTAGTGCAATTGGCAATGATTTTTCCCAACAGGCACTATCTAAGTTCTGAGAGCGGAGATGAAGCTGGATTGTCTTCCATAGTGTTCCATTAAGGCGTTCTACCAAACCGTTGCCTTGTGGATTATATGGGGAAGTACGGCTACATGAAACACCAAGACTAGTCAGGAATAGCTTTAATTCTTCTGACAGGAATGATGTTCCTCTATCGGAGTGAACATAAGCAGGAGTACCGAACAGGCAAAAAAGTTCTTTCAGGCACTTAATTATAGTCGCTGATGACATGTCTTTACAAGGGAATGCGAATGGAAATCTGCTATATTCATCAATTATGGTTAGAATATACTTATTGCAGGTGTTGGATGGTAAAGGCCCTTTAAAATCCAAATTCAATCGTTCAAATGCAGTCGTTGCTTTAATTAGTTTACCTTCATTCTTTACATATCTAGGTTTTATTTCGGCGCAAACACGACAAGCAGAGGTGATTCTTTTGACTTCTTCAACAGAATAAGGAAGATTTTTAGAACGAACAAAATGAATCATTCTTGTCACACCTGGGTGGCATAGAGAGCTGTGAAGGTCAGCGAGTTGTTTAGAAGAACTATTTATAAGGGAACAGACACGGGATAACGCGTCTGCAGCTACATTTTGTTTGCCAGGGCGATAAATTATGTCATATTTAAAACAAGATAGTTCCAGACGCCATCGTTCTATCTTTTCATTTTTTATCTTGCTTGAATGTGTTTGATTTAACATGAAAGATACAGACTGTTGATCAGTGATAAGAATAAAGTAACGGCCAATTAAATAATGACGCCATTTGCGAAGGGCTTCCACAATTGCACTCGCTTCTTTTTCTATGGAAGGTTGGCGTCGTTCTGAATTATTTAGAGAACGTGTGAAAAATGCCACCGGGCGGCCTTTCTGTGAAAGTGTGGCTGCTATGGCAAATTCTGATGCATCAGTCTCAACAGTGAACGTTTCTTTTGAATCGATAGAAGCCAGAGATGATTGTGCAATATCAGCTTTAAGTTTTGTGAAGCATTCTATTGCTTCTTCAGTTAAAGGAAATGAGGAATCGACCAATGGTTTTATTTTTGCTGAGAAATTATGAATCCATTTTGAATAATGGGCGAATAGGCCAAGAGTTCTCTTAAGTGTGGCTGTATCGGACGGAATAGGAAGACTCAAAAGCGGTTCGAGGCGTGTTTTGTCAGGTTGTATCGTATTGTTATGAATATAATAGCCAAGTAGATTGATAGAATCAGATTCAAACACGCATTTGTTCTTATTTAAGGTAAGATTGTATTTCTTTGCAGCTTCCATGAACCTTTTCAGATTGATGTCGTGTTCTCGCTTGTCTTTTCCGCAGACAGTAACATCATCTAAGTAAGCATATGTACCTTTTAGTTTTTCCGTACGAATGATATAGTGAAGAGTTCTTTGAAAAGCAGCGACACCATTGGTAACACCAAACGGAATCCGTGTGAACTGGTAAAGATTACCACAGGCTTCAAATGCGGTGTAGATTTTCTCCTTCGGAAGGATAGGTACCTGATGATATGCACTTTTAAGATCTATCTGACTAAATACATTATACCTAGATACGGAAGCTACTATAAATTCAATACTCGGAAGAGGGTATGCATCTAGATCCGTAAATCTATTTATAGTCTGTGAATAGTCTATTACTAGACGTTTTCGGTGATGTCCACCTCCTGCAACCAGGACTTGCGCTCTCCATGGGGAGACGCTAGGTTCTATAACTTTGTCTTTTAGGAGATTAGCGATTTCATTTGATATGAATGTTTGATCTTCTTCAGAGTGACGTCTAGATCGGATGGCGATAGGTTTGATGGATGGCGAAAGGTTAGTAAACACTGATACAGGCGGCACAGAAGCTTCCAGGACGTTGCAGATTTTCAATGGATCCTTTTCACCACCGAACTGTAATTCAAGAGAAGAATGTGTCCTTAGGATATCATGTCCTATGATCACGTCAGCACATAAGCTATTTATGATAAACAATGGCTGTTGTTTATAAACGTTATCTCCAATCTGGATAGTAACGTGACATAGACCATTGACGTGTGATACATTATGTAGTGAAGCTAGGGTTACAGCTTGATTGCAATATTTTCTTTTAAGTTTCATTAGCTCTACTAGGCTATTGTCAATAAAACTAATGGAGCTTCCGGTATCAACTAGGGCGTCAGCTTTGTGATTATTGATAGTGATGGAAATTGTTGCCTTACGTAAGCTAGAAGGAGCAGCAGCGCATATGGAGAGTAGTAAGCTAGACGGAGAAGCTTCTGGTGTATCTTCTGTGGTTACAACGTTAACGATCGGTTGTTTTTTTATCAGCGCTTCGACAGACATTCGCAAAATGTCCTTTTTTTTGACAAAACTGACACTGTGCATTATATGCAGGGCATTTTATTCTTTGGTGCACGGTCCCACCACAGAAAAAGCATTTTCTTCTTGAAGATGTGCCAGAGCGTGAGGTTGTAGCCGTTAAATTCGGCGTAGTGTTCGTCATAACGTTTAGAGACGGTGCAGTATTAGATTGTAGAACTAAGGACGTGTTTTCGGCAGTCTCTAGTGAGATAGCGAGATTCAGTGTCTGTGGCAGTGACAACTCAGATTTTTCAAGTAAACGTTCGCGGATTCTTTGGGATGATAATCCCGCAATAAATGCACCACGTATTGATTCGTTCTGATGTTCCTCCGCTGTTACAGCTTTGTAGTGACAATCGTATGCAAGGGATGTCAGAGTTCGACAATACTCAGCAATAGATTCACTTGCTTGTTGTTTTCTAGAGGCAAGTAGATGTCGAGCTAGTGTAATGTTTTTTCGCCTTTCGAACGTATCATTAAGCAACGTGATAGCATCACTGTACTTCGTGCATTCTCGTATTATATTGAATATAGTCGACGACACGTGATTAATAAGTACTTTTAACTTTACCTCTTCAGAGACGGGTGAAGCTTCTTCTTTAAGAAAATTTTCAAATGAGTACCGCCAATGCGCCCATTTCAAATCGGAACCGTCAGTTGAAGGAACTGTATCGAAGCGTTCCGGACGTAGGTAGCGTGACAAACCAGAAGGCGGAAGAACTTTGTCCTCAGACATTTTGAATTCGAAAAACACTTTAAAGCATAATAAATTGATACAAGAAAAGACAATACCAATTTAGATACTTGGTTTTATTATGCTTTAAAACAGAGCAAATTATTTAACATAAGAGAGTATGACAATATCAGTTTATAACATATGTCATCATTGAAATATAAAGTATAGAACTTTTAGCAAAGAGTATGATTATAAACTCAAGGAGTTCACATCAATGTCCTAATTGAAATTACTCATATTCTGTTTGTACTTTTTATTTGTGTTTGTATTGATATCTAAGTTTCGAATTTTGCAAATTTCAGTTTTATAATATGTTAGTTAAAAAGAACGGAAATAACTATTTTTGATCCATTCGTTTCCTGCAAAATCAACTTTTGCTAGAGCCGCCATCTAATGAGGTGGTTTTTAGTGCTTTCCTTTTTTTTCTTAGAATACTTTCTCATTGTCTTAGTAATACTAATGTGGTTATATGTCCCTAGCAGTCCCTAGTTTGATATTATATTCCATTTGTAAATACTACCAGTTTTTCTCGCGATTCGTTGTGACAATATATGGAGTCGAAATATGGACGCTTACATTGGGACTTGTCCATAAAATGATAGTCACTCAGCGTGACGCGACGATTCAATTCCTAATCGATTCTACATATCGAGACGATAACACATCCCTCTGTTAAGTCACACCGGGGAAAAATTATGATGATCACAAAGACGTTATGTATATAGGTATCTGCTTTGTTAATTCATTGCTTAACGTCGAATCATTATACTTAACTTCAACAACGACAAAATAAGTTATGATTTGCTTCGCTTGTACTGAATTTACGCGAATCTAGCGCCTGTGTTCAGATGAAACCCATAGAATCCCATCCCATCGCAGATTACAACGCAATCCACGATAGCAATGAAATGAGACAATATAGAAATCACGTTAATATATTAATGAAACAATATGAATTCACCTTATGAAATACGAGATTATAATTGAAGGGTAAAACTCAAAGGAGGTAGGAAGATTCTAAGATCATGGCAGAATTTCTTACCCAGTCAATTCTCGAGGCAGCTCCTTTGCCTTACAAGATCAAGCTTCATCTACTCGTCGGGCGACTCGACCACCGATTTTACACAGAATTTATACGATATACACTAAAGACTTGTCAAATGAAATACATAGGTAACTTCATAATTGTTCATCACAGATTATACTTTAGTTATGCCAACAATCCAGCCTCCCCTCCCTGAGGGCGAACCTTACCAAATAATCAATCATCCGGCCTCCCCTCCCTGGGCGAGCCTTACCAAATTATCATCATCCAGCCTCCCCTCCCTGAGGGCGAACCTTACCAAATTATCATCATCTAGCCTCCACACCCTGAGGGCGAGCCCAACCAAATTATCAATCATACAGCCCGCCCTCCCTGAGGGCGAGCATCCAACAAGCCATCAATTGTCCTACCCGCCCTCCCTGAGGGCGAGCTTCCAACAAGTCATCAATTGTTTTACCCGCCATCCCTGAGGGCGAGCGTCCAAGAAGTCATCAATCATCAAGCTCGCTCTCCCGAGCGTCCAACAAGCCATCGAGGGTCACAAAACTCAAGAAACAACTCATATTCTATCTGCAAAAATCAACTTTTGCTAGAGTCGCCATCTAGTGGAGGTGCTTTTTAATGCTTTCGTTTATTTTTTTAATACTTCCTCATTCAGGCATATAAAGGATGCCATATTAAGGAAAACTTGATACCGGTAATTTTTACGAGTGCTTACCGTGCTGTAATATCAAGTACTTAATATAGAGTATTACTTTTAAAAATATTGATTCTTACTCGGAATCAAAAGTATCATTCGATTCCTAGTTGCTATTATTTGGGCTATTAGGCTGTATGGGCTACGCCCTTTGACTTCTTATTAAGATTTATTTAAAAATTATATTTTGCTCTTTGGTCTGCTGCGTGAGGCGAATGGGCGATACGAGTTTTTCTAGTACGGTTAAAATATCTGGGTTCAATAAGAGATAAATTTATTGTTACTGCAGTGATCTATTTTTCTAAATGAAATTTGAAAACTTGTGAACAGAAACTATTAACTTTAAATAAACAAACAGTGAATAAAGTCTAAGTAGACAGGTATCTACTATAATCCCGTTTTCAAATTACTCAAATTGGTATTGATTAAATTTATGCTGTTCTGTCATGAGATGACAAAACTATGTCAAGTGTGTTTTAGTAAATAATTCTATACACACTAATTGTAAAGAGAATAATTGGTAATCAGACAAGTGTTATCAGGTGTTACGGCATGAATTTAGACAACTCATCAAGAGAAAATTCTGAAGCATTGGATTCAATTGGGACTGTTAGTCCCAGAGAAAAGTATCACAGTATGAGAGAAAAGAAGTTATCTACCGCATCATTGACAAACATGGAAGGAGCTCGACCAAAAGTAGTGACAGTCAAACATCCTGAATCAAATAAACCTAAACCAACTGCAAAAAAAAATAAACCAATTCAAGCAGATCTCGACGTAGTTAAAGAGTTTATAAGATGTCGTGAAGAAGGCGTGAAGCGGCTTGATCTGAGTAAGTCTTCTATAACTTCTTTGCCACCAAATGTCAGAGATCTGACTCATCTAATAGAATTTTATTTGTATGGTAATAAGTTAGTAGCACTGCCTGCTGAATTTGGTTGCCTTACAAATTTACAGACATTAGCTTTGAATGAAAATTCACTGACAAGTTTACCAGACTCATTGGCAAACTTGAGGTGCCTAAAAGTTTTGGATTTGCGACATAATAAATTGAGTGACATTCCTGAAGTTGTTTATAAACTGACTTCGCTCACAACTCTGTTCCTACGTTTTAACAGAATCAGGGTAGTTGGTGATGGAATTGCCAACTTGACTAATCTTACAATGCTCAGCTTAAGAGAGAATAAAATAAAAGAATTGTCATCTGGAATTGGTAAATTGGTGAATTTGGTCACCTTTGATGTTTCACATAATCATTTGGAACATTTACCTCAAGAAATTGGCAACTGTGTAAATTTGTCTACATTGGATTTACAACATAATGATTTATTGGACATACCAGAAACTATTGGAAACCTTCAAGCATTAACTCGTTTAGGCTTAAGATATAATAGACTAACAGCGATACCATCTAGTTTAAGTAACTGCAAACATATGGATGAATTCAATGTAGAAGGTAATTCAATATCTCAACTTCCTGATGGCTTGCTTGCTAGTTTGAATGAATTGACAAGTATAACACTTTCTCGGAACTCATTTATGAGTTACCCTTCTGGAGGTCCTGCCCAATTCACAAATGCATTTTCTATTAACTTGGAACACAATCAAATTGACAAGATTCCATATGGTATATTTTCAAGAGCAAAAAGTTTGACCAAATTAAATATGAAAGAAAATTTACTAACTTCATTACCATTAGATATTGGAACATGGAGTAACATGGTTGAACTTAACTTGGGAACTAATCAGTTAACAAAATTGCCTGATGATATACAATGCCTACAGAATTTAGAAATACTCACATTATCAAATAATTTACTAAAAAGGATTCCACCTAGTATTGGCAGTTTAAGGAAGCTACGTGTGTTGGATTTGGAAGAAAATAAACTGGAGGTTTTACCTAATGAAATAGGCTTCCTCCATGATTTACAAAAATTGATTGTACAATCAAACCAGTTAACTTCACTTCCAAGATCCATTGGCCATCTGACCAATCTTACATTTTTGAGTGTTGGAGAGAACAATCTGCAATACCTACCAGAAGAAATTGGTACTCTTGAAAATTTGGAATCTTTGTATTTGAATGACAATCCGAACTTGTGTAATTTACCATTTGAGCTAGCTTTGTGTGTGAGCTTGCAGATCATGAGCATTGAAAACTGTCCATTAACCGCTATTCCACCAGAGGTGGTGTCATCAGGCCCTTCCTTGGTCATTCAATATTTAAAATCTCAAGGGCCATATAGAGCTATGTGATATCAGGATGAAGATTTTTTACCAAACAGTGAAGGCACTTAAATTCACATAGAGCAAAAACAAACTGCTTTCCTGAAAAATATACTCATGATACTCTTGTGTATTAATCAAGAACTATACTGGATGTTTCAAAAGAATATAAATAACATTTGTAAAGTATTATTATTTTTCTTCTAAAAACTTGTTGGAACTCCATTTAACGTTTTTTTATGCCTACTGAGCTAGGCATTTTAAAAACTAAAAAAAACCTGTTGTGTCAAATTGGTTTGGATTGACCATTCATGTGACTTTGTATTATTTGAATTTTGTCAGTAATCATTACATATTATTATGTATATCAATCTTCCATTTTTACTGAAACCCTTTTCATTGTTGTATGTATCAATGTTAAAAGAATAGGCATTTTTTTATTATATAAGAAGAAATGATAAAAAGTATGTACCTTGGCGTTAGTACACACAGCAGCACTTGAAATTACTGTAAAAGGCCAATGCAACCAATTTTGAACTATACTGGCAATAGATTAAGGCTTATAATTTATAATAGGTTTGGCTTTTTGTAGTAATCTCACATGCTGTTGACTGTACATGGAGGTAATTACATATTTTAATGTTGTATAGGTATAATGTAAGCACAGTTTTTTATTTAATATTCTGTACTATATTAATTATCAGAATCGGCTTTATCTATTGAAGTCCCATGACAATATTGCCAATTTCAATAAAAATTATAAAACAATTCTACATATTTCAAAATATGTACTTCAAATTGTGAATTTATTTTTATTTTAAAATGATTGACTAAGTATGATCTCATGCCTTTTGTAAACAATACCTGATTGTAGAAGATTCAAATCAAAATATATATTACAGCACTTGAATTCCTCCTGGGTACTTAGTAGCCACATAGGTAGAAGATAAAAAAAAAACAGAAATTGTTATTAATAAATGTGTTACATTTCTATTGAATTTTATAATCATAACCAGTGTTATAGCTTTTACTCAACATCTCCATTGCATAGAAAATGTTTGTATGAAAAGTAATTATTAATACAAAGCAGTCTTATTTACAATTTTTATTATATTTTTATCCAATGGATTTTATTGATGTGGAATGTAAACTCCTTAGTGAGTATAAAACCTACCTATAAATATTTACTTATCTTGTTAGAAAATAAATAGAATTGCTTATAATATTTTTATACAGTTTGCATTATCCCAACATATCTATTAATAATTTAAACTCTTTGTAAGTAGTTGTCGCATTCGTGTTGATACGACAGATAATACCTACATTATTAAAATAGGGATGACGTCTGGGTAAAAAAAAGGATTTCTATTTTATCAGTCAGTCAGAAAAATGTTAGATACGTATATTTTTTTCTTCAATTTGAACAAGAAATGGCGTAGTTATTAGGCATTAAAGTTGGGGGCTCGCTACGTCACAGTTTTGTAGAAAATGTACCATAGCGTGACGTCATGCGACATTTCAACTCCATGTATCGCCGTTATTTATTGAATTCGCGAAAAATAAAAAATAAAGTATTTAATAGTCTTCAATAATCCACCTCACGGACTGTAAAACAAAAATGAGTCGTCATCCCTATAGTTATTTAAGAATAAAAGTTGCGCCCCTGCGCCTGCAGCACAAATGTAGAATCAGCCCTGCGATTCTGTAAAAATCCAGACCCGAATTCGAATTCACTCATGTGTCCGAATTCACGTCATTTAGTGTAAAAATTCTATTGAGTCCATTTTTTTTTTGTTTATACAAAAAAAAAAATGGACTCAATAGAATTTATAAATGTTTTTATAAATACAAAACAAAATTGATCGAATACACGTGTCTCAGATATTCTATTCCTATATCATTTCGAAACTCACTTCACATATGCTACGAAACGTTATTACCAATTCAAGGTTGAGCGTATGCCTCTTTTTGAAGTCAATTCGGACACCTGAGAGAATTCGAATTCGGGTTTGGAGTTTTACAGAATCGCAGGGCTGATCTCAAAATTCATTTCATTATGTTACTGGTATATAGTTACATGTTCAATATAAATATTACTCATGTTTGACTGAGATGGGTGATCAATTTGCCTGAATCCAGAGGGAGACGCAAAGGTCGCTTTGAACACACACTGAATTTAGCCTAGTTTGTGTAACAGCATCTCTAGATCACGACATACAAGTTATAAAATTATTGTTTAACCTGAAAATGTGGTTCCGGGGCAGAAACTAGATTATTTCTATAGCTATAAATAAAAAACGTGCAATAGCTGGACTAACCGATCAAATTACTGTATAGCAGGGGTGGCCAACTTATTTAGATCCAAGATCAACTCTTCGCTGACGACACCCAGTACGATCTATCAATTAATTAACTTTTAAAAGTCTTAAATGAAACATCATAGTTCATACACAATTATGTTTAATTTTATTTATATTTTTGAATTACCACGATCGACTGGACTAATAGTCGCGATCGACTGGTTGGCCACCCATGCTGTATATTATACTGTAGTCTATCAAACAAATCTTGAATACGTTTACAGTTTACTTTACAGTAATTTGATCGTTTAGTCCATCTATTGCACATTTTCTATTTATAACTATAATCTAGTTGCCCCGGGCCTGTTGCTGCTCCGGGCCTCCGATGAGGTTAGTCCGCCACTGCGCAGGCCTACCCTATGAATGGAATCGAATAAGGAGAACGGGCCATGTCATGTCACCACGCGGGCCCAGTGTGGATTGTTTTAACGACGTGTAGCTCTGACCAACGGCTGAACGTGCCTTCAAAAGCATGAAGCAGCTTTGAGGGTCGTATGTCAATTAATTGGGAGTAAATAGTGACAATTTGTGATTGACATTTCATATAATTAGTGACATTGTAAATTAAGGGATATTGGAAGATCTTAGTATGCCTGACGTCTAGACTAGCACAACAGAAATACGATTCGTATTAGTTTGAATTACATGTCAAAAAATTGTTTAACTCATTAGTAACTTCTACGTCATGAACTTTCATTTTACTCACTTCAATAGAATTCGAGATATTTCCAATTATTGATGCGCCTGATAACGCTTATAGCAACGGCAGTTATAAAAAAACTGATAGGAATTTGAAGCTAATAAATACAAAGATTTCTATAAACTAAAAAATACTTAATAATAATATACCTATGTGAATTTACCTATCAGAAATAGGTAAATGCACATATCGAAACGATTAACAAAACCTTATTGTAATATTTTGTATCATAAAACTAACACTCTAACCTTATCGTGAAAATGTAAAAGAAAATTGTTTTTTCGTGGTATGTCTAAATATTTTTACAAAGTTACTGTACCACATATGGTACGGTAGAAAGTTAAAGTTTGATCAACGATCTTTAATCCTTAGGGGGTGGAATATGGGTTATAATTTTGTATGAAAGTATTAGTTTTATAAAATGATTAAATACCTGTTTTAGCGCTGATTTAGTTAATTAATCAGAACTAGTTCTTTTTATAATCTATAGTAAAATATTATAATTTTTTTAATAATTCAAATTTATTAGTGTTTAATATTAATCGTTGATATAGTTATTAATTTATTAAATATCTTTTCTTAAAACAGTATAATTTTTATGCCTTCTGATCGGGCAATTAAGATTTATTCCCAAAATGTTTGGGTTTTTTCCCTATCTGCCCGCCGGGCGGAAACTCTTTGCCCATCTCTACTTATCTCTTTTTACAGTGTCACTAATTATATGTTATGAATCGCTAATTGTCACTATTTAGTCATTGTCAGATTAGACAGCAAAAATAGCAAACGCGTTTTGGTGGATGATTTTTCTGTTTCGATTGCAGTTAGGTATTGATTTCGATTATTCGTCGTCATCGTCATGAAATATATATTAGCCGATTGGAAAAATGCGTTATTTTGTTGGTAAACCTCAAAAACAAGAACGCGCGTGTCATTATTCCCATTGTAAGTTGAATTTAGTCTAAACTGTTGTATTGGCGGTAATTTTAAAAATGAAATTGCAATCAGGGGGGGGGGGGTACAATAAATTTGCTACATACCCGCTCTGGTTTAATCCGGTACTGTATTTACTTACAATTTATGGACATTACATAAGACCCTCAAAGTTGTTGGTGTGCCTGTTACCGTTCACCATCTCACTGCTTTTTTTCCGTTTTATGGTTCATTTACACTGGTCGATGACATATACGTGCGTCATGCGGGCGATTTCTGTGGCTCGATTACATTGATCAGTGACTGTTTTATTTATAGATTTACTATAGAAATTGTCTAATTGAAATGTCTAAAAGGTTTTATTGCCTAATGAGAGGGATCGCTCGCTCCGCATGTTGGCCCCGTCGACCATTAAAGTAGTACATTTAATTAGCAAGCGGAGTGGAAATGTGGCATAGGCGTAGCAATGCTTTGGACGGAACTCATCGCAAATTTCAACCTATAGTTGGAATTATGTCTAGCCACATGAATAGGTTTTGTATATTTATTGCGGGACAAATTATATTAGTCCTGTCTCATGTGTCAAACAAAGTATGAAACCGATTACCTATGCGTGATGCCACAGGGTGTGGACTTGATAAACTTGCTGCTTTAGCATTGAGGTCCCAATGAGGAAGTATTTAAAAAAAAAGAAAGCACTAAAAAGCCCCTCACTAGATGACGACCAGCAAAAGATGATATTAACAGGAAACGAATAAACCAAGGATTTTCATTTCCGTTCCTTTTAACTAACATATTAAAAAACTGAAATTTGCAAAGTTCGAAACTTAGATATCAATACAAATAGTAATACGGAAAAGTACAAATAGAATATGAGTTGTTTGAGTTTCAAAAAATTAATTTCTTTTATGTATGAAAGAAAACCTCATGGAGAAATCAAGAATGTACTGTAGCGACATCTGGTTTGATTTCGGGAACTTAATTTATTTTTTAATGCTTCCTTATTGATAAAATTATCAAAACATTCAGCATACTATAAAACTAATACGAATACATGGGTAATTGAAATTTATTTGCATATGCAAGTATCACTAAAATGAATAAATACAATTTTAGTCCTACAATCTTTGAAATTGTATTAATTATATTATTTTTATTTATGAATATGTAAATGTCATTACTTATGATAAAGAACTGGTATGTTTCTATCGCTTGTTCTTATCAGCTAAAAGACGTCCTGAAAGAGTGGTAGGGGAAAAATTTTTTTGGACGATTCAAAAGTGCTTGAAACAAGCTTACTTCAGTAAAGACATTTTCATTTTAATGGATTTTGTTAGACAGCATTAAAAATAATTTGATTTTCAATATATTTGTTACTCATAAAAGGTGTGGTGTCCAAAATTTCATATTTTTTAAGCAATAACACGGAAACGAAAGTTTTGATTTATAAATATTATTTGAATAATGTCTCATAAAACTAGGTACAAGGTAAAAAATTACCCTTAAAGAGAATTATTTGCTTTTTTTTCTCAATTTTAGCACAAATAACTTTCAGTCAGTTAGGTATATTAGACAGCAGCACATCTGATTACCACAAATTTTAACCTTTTTGAATGAAAAAGACAAGACAATAAAGTTTAGAATGAAATGAATACTTTGAATAACCTGAGGTGCTACCAGGTGCTACCGATTGTATGTTGTTATAATATATTTTTGAACATTTTATTTACTTCTATAGCGACAGTTAGGGTCAGTGCAAATCTGACGAAGGATCCCTCTTTCGTAAGTATGACTTAGTAGGACCGTGACGGATCAGCCGTTTAGTGTACAAGGTATTTTCTGTACCAAGGTCACCTATTTCATGTATGGAATTTAAGGGAGGGTGAAAATTTGTATGGAACTCATAATTTTTAATCATAAAAATTATTTTTGGGTTATTAATAAAAAATAATTAAATGCCAATGCCCACATATACTATTTCAGTATATGTAGAAAGAGGTTGAGTTTGTATGGAACAAAATGATGTTATTCACATGGACAAAGGCACTGGCGTAACGATACTCTTATTATCTTTTCTAATATTATAAAGAAGAAATATTTTGTGTTTGTTTGTTTGCATTGTTGTGCTCTGAAGCTACTGAAACAATTTGAAAAATTATTTTACCATTAGAATCCGTATATAACCTTCGGTACCCGTATGAAGTCGAGACGGGCCGCTAGTTTTATATTGTCAGTTCTGAGGTTCCACTACCAACGGCGACGTGACTCATCTTCTCTTAGATATGCACCAACCCTAAATTTGACTACTCAACATGGGCACCACCAATCTACAGTTCAGAAGTAAATGAAATCACTTTTATTGTTATGAAGAAAACTATCATTTAAGAAACAGGCCGTGTTCTCATTTAGGTATTTGTTTAAAATAACTAATTATTAGGTATACATGTCGGAATCACGCTTCCCTGTCCTGTGACAGAGTCGAATGTACACCGTGGAAACTTCAGTGCAAAGGATTTAAATAAAACTTCTTAAGTTTTCACACGTAAGCTGAATGTTTCTAAGGCTCAACACACATAAATTATTTTTGAAGTTTATTTTTTTACTTTTACCATTTATTAATTTTTTTTTCCAGATTAGCGGTTTGCATAACCAAAATTAACATTAGATAAATTATTTAAAACGAAAGTCAATTCAATAATCTATATTTTTGTGTTTATAAGCTTTCAAAAAGATATCAATTTTTGCTGTCAATATATTTTGAAAGTGAAATAAACAAGACTCTAAAATAGTACGTACATAGCATGTCATAGGCCTCAAGTTCTATTACATAATGGAAAGTCATATAATCCTGTATGTAAGCATGTTCATTCTGAAGGTCATTAGTTTATTTATTGGTAGAATAAATTACCCTTAAGGCAATTCACCCTAAAATACCGGTAGTTTTTCAATAGAGTACTTAAATGTATTCCACCACACTTTCGAATAAGATTTTTAATTCATATATTAATTGGATTAATATCAATTAATGAAATCATAAAATTGTATTGTATGCATGCAGTGTTTCATGTAAGTCCCACTATATTTCAACAAAAGCTAGTGATGATATATTTTTATACTACATCAGGGAGTTCATGAAGACAAATTCAATAAAATGAGAAAGCTTTTGATAGGAATGATGTCATATCGTCACATATTTATCAATGCTGCGTATTCACTGAGCGAGCACAGTCGCGAGGCACGCGTGGCGCGTGTGCACACTATACGTTACTTAATCTTGAAAAAACATCAAGTCAAAGAAATCATCAGGTGCTTAGGGGAAAAAAGCCAAGACGCCAATGCCATTTTTAGATGAAATTAAATAGTCAATCTCTCATAACTTTGTTCAAATTCCGGGATCGACCAGCACAAGCGGCGTTTTCGACTTATACACAATAGGAAATTTGAATCTCACTGCAGATTCGGCTTTCCGATGTTAATAATATGTTCATAGTATCGCATAGCAGCACCTGTTTGCTGAGCCTTGTTGGTTTTTAACGCCGTTCAAAGATGTCTCAGCACGTTTTAGTATGTGTCGAAGAATTATTATTACGCTATGACGGTGATATTTAATAAACGTACACGTACCGAACATACCACATCACGACCTTAAGCGAATATGACACAAAAATTACAGCCGGAGGGTGCTCGGCGAGGCAATGGGTGCGAGGCATCCGTTCGAGGCTACCCGCCCGGTGAATACGCATCTTATACCGAGTAAACAAAAAAATAAACTATATTAAGTTTTATACCTTAATGGATAGATTTTATAACTAACTTTTTTTACCAACTCATGCTTGACCTATCTATTTGACAGGCCACACCAAATAGAGATACTGTTAATTATAGTAATAATTATGACGGTGCTTGTTATTATGGCTATGTTATTGCTTTGTTTTATGAAATAACATTATTAAAATAAAAACGACATTAAAATGTGCACCAAAAGTTCTATCCAATAAGTTATAGATTATATATTTTGACAGTATGCAATATATAAAACTTTTTATTACATACAATCCAGTCTCAAGTGAAAATAAACGAAAACCTGAGTCACATTGAACAGCTTCAACTAAAGTTTAAACTGACATACACTTTTTTAATAAATCAGTCAACATTAATTAAAATAATAATAATTAAAAAAAAAACAAACCGACAATAATTTACTCAAATTTAATATTAGATTTCTATTTAAATATTATGATTAATTCAGTAACCTAATTTTGTTCAAATTATTATTTAATAATAGTAATTAAGGCCTTATCGCATTGGCCTTTTGCGAATGGGTTCAAAGTAAAGCTAAAGACAAGCTGGTTCACCATGATACAACACATCTTGCATGCACAGTAACCATGCTGCATGTTATAATAAACAGATCAATATCTAATCCAACATTAACCAATGTGATTAAAATGGTCTCTTGCTTCAGTTTGAAATCCCTCATAAATCACCATTGTTGAAAGACCCTTTGGTAAAAAAAAAGTATTATTTCACTCAGAGGTCACTTAAAAAATGTGTACAATTTTCAAATAACTATTTTGAATATCATATTGAATGCCATTTACAAACTGCTAGCTTAATTTATAAAAAAATACTCTTAAGCAAGTTATCTACCTCATTTACAAGCACTTAATATAGTATGTTTTAAATAAAATACAATAAATATTTCGTTTATAAATATAAATTTTAAATGCTTACCATGTTTCAAACTAACAAGAGCTAAAAATGGAGAATGTAAATAGTACACAATTTCTACCTACTGTCAGTCCTTATTCACAAGTCACATAGGAATATATCTCAAAACTTCTAGGTTCAGTTGTGTGTATAAAAATAACATATTAGTATTTAAAAAGTACTAAACAGTAACAATTTGTTTCTAACCATTGCAGTTTTTATAAGCATACCGTTACTTAAAATCTACATGTAAATCTTTGGTATTTCCATTTGCATTATAAATAAACAGATATTTGTATAACTAAAACATGAATGACTAATGCACCTGATGTTTATGTTTATATCACATTGTAGAAAATATTGTTTATGGCACTTATTTGATTGATTTTTTTTCTGTAAATGAATACTTTTATGTGTATGTACCCTATTTGTTTAATTTGAGCAATAAATTGGTGTAGAAACACATTATTACTGTTGGTATGAGATTCCTGCATATTATAATGTCAATATCATATTTGTCATGGAGATTATTATATTTACATGATTAAACATTTTCTCTGGTGCCTCTTTTGGGGTTCTGGTCTTAAGACTGCTCGAACAGCTTCATCAAATACCTTGAAATTAAATCACCAGTGTTAAAAAAGTTTGCAGGTCGACGGCAATATTGACAGCATGTTTTTCAAACAAAAGTAATTAGACATTATTTTCTGAAACATATTCTAACTAAAATTATGAAATGACTGTATCTATATGTTATCTACACAATAAAATGACAAAAGGGAAAAATCTGGAAGCTTTAATTGTTCAGGTCATTAAATAGTGGGATATCAATAGATTTGTCAAACCCACCAAAAACTGCAAAATATACACCTATATTGAATACAATACTTATTATATAATACATATATAAAACCTTCACAAAGACAACCTGCTGACAATAATTAAAGACATAAAATATATTCTTAGCTGATTTAACAAATATACTAATGCATCATTAGAAATTAAGTTATATAAGTTTTCAGAGTAATTTAATTACTTAATTAAAACCAAACTATTATAATGAACATAAAAGTAATTAAGTACTTTCCCTATAAATAAAAAAAAATATTACTAAAAAAACTACTTTCAATACATTAGACTTCTCTCATTGTAATACATATTAGATTATCTGTTTTTGATAACTTACTTGTTTGAGGCCACGTTGTGTTAAAGCTGAACATTCCATATATTTTACAGCTCTAATTTTGTTTGCCAGCTTTTGTCCTTGTTCTCTTTTTAAAGGTGACATTCCCTGTTCTGATAGAAGGCTTAAAGTTTCTCGATCATCCCTTAAATCAATTTTTGTGCCTACAAACAAATAATACTATATAAGATAAAATTATAAAATGTGGAAAGGATAAAATTATTAACTTTAATTGAATACATACCAACTAAAATAATGGGTGCGTCAGGACAGTGATGTTTAATTTCTGGATACCACTTGGAAGTAACATTTTCATAAGATGAAGGGCTAAAATATTAATAAACAAATTGCTATCACAAAACTTACAGAAACATAAATTGTTTCATCTTAGATAAATAATATCACATGTAATAATAAATCATACCTCGTAACACTGAAGCATATAAGGAAGACATCAGTTTGTGGATAACTTAATGGTCTTAGCCTATCATAATCTTCTTGTCCTGCTGTGTCCCAAAGACCAAGTGATACAGCTACTCCATCAACTACCATCGGAGCTGAATAATTGTCGAAACTGTAAACGTTAACAAATAAGATTCCAATTTACTGTTTACATTAGAGACTGCAATTTTCCGACATCAAAAAATCACTTACACTGTAGGGACATATTCGCCTGGAAAACTATCAGTGGTGTATGAAATCAACATGCATGTTTTTCCGACAGTACCATCTCCAACGACTACACATTTAATCGGTCTTCCTGAAGACATCTGAAGAATAAAATATAATTGAATGGCGACAAAACTATGACTCACTCTGATCACAACGTATGGTAAAAACAAACATTGACAATACCGTATTATTATATCTTATTTTATAATACCTAGATATTTTAGATCTACGTGCTAAAAACAATCTACTTAGATTCTAATAAATTAAGAAATATAAAGAAACAAAATAATCACACACAAATTTTCTTTCTAAAAGTATACTCTGAAAGATGGATGCTGTCAGGGTTGCCACATGTAGTTCCGAAATTTACCGTCATTCAAAAAAAAAATTCGATTCGATTTCATCCATTGGGTCTGTGCAGCAGTGGTTATACATATTGTTTGAGACATGATGATATAATTTTTTATAACAAGCGATTGAAGGAACAACTCCGCGAAACTCATATCATCTATAAATAAGTATAAAAATGTATATGTTACTGTAAACGCCCGAAATTCGCGAAACCTTAAAATATTATTAGGTGTTATAGCCTAAGGTAACAATGCTAAAAGGTAAAAGTTTTGAACTTTTACCATCATGCAGTCAGTTAATCCTACGCTTTACCCTGAGAAAATTATTTAAGGTTTTACCTCAAGGACACGGTAAATTACAAAGAAATATAATTCTGAGATGCTGTTATAAATATAAAACTGAGATTATTTTTTTATTAATTAGAAAACTCTTGCTTATTTTTGTCACGATCTCTAAGACATCTTATTTATACATGATAAGTTTATGTACAAATTAGGTACAGATGACCAATAAACGGTTATGCATATAACCATGATTAGCAACAATAATAAATCGTAGAGTAGAAAATTAAAAGGAACTTTATGTCTTTAAATAGGTATTCTCCGAACTCCAAATAAAATAATGTGTATAATAAATAGACTAATGTATTTTCTTGATAAATATTTAAACAGAAGTAAAAAACTGACAATGACAAAGAATATAAAGAGAAAAACAAATTGGCTATCAAAAGATATATGAAAGAAGGTTGATGTGTAAACTAAATAGTTCCAACAAAATTAATAAAAACATCTTTAGAAAAGAAGTAATATTCAATAATAAAGTTAATTATAAATTTTCTTAACTTAATAACGAAAATAGAAATTTGAAAATGACATGGTTTTTTCGTTTATTTTTCCTGGCCATGGGATTTATCTGTAATAATCACAATAAGTAAACCCTATAGATTTTTATTTCACATTCAATGTTTTAGATAGGATGGATTAAATGGCAATACAGTTTAGGTACTTTTTTTTTATTAACTGCAAGGAAATAGGCTTTAATAAAGCTTAAAAAGCTTGGTATCGACTAGAGGTGTACCGGGTTGAAACCATAGAGATTATCTAGTTGTAGAAATTTTCCACTGTATGCCTGTACCGTAACATAGATCCGTAAATATACGAATAACAAAAGATTTGGCAGTATAGCTAAATTCCTTCGCGTATACCATGGACTACTACTAAAGAGTAGCACTATAATGAGGGGACTACTACTACTAGTACTGCCCATAGATTAATATGTACTGCCCTCACTGTCTCACTCACTGCAACAACTGTCAGTGTCAAAAACAAAGGCGTCATGTGAACGGTTTTTTTTCTTTGTGTTTATTTCTTTGTATTGGATGGAATTTAATTTACAAATAGTTGTAATATTTGTTCGTTTGTGTAGACGAAATCGTTTCATATTTTATGTTTTAAATTTATAATCCAAGTAAGTCGAACAATGACTTTAATTTATATCGTTGTTCCTGTTCAATCAGTGCTGATACTGAATGATGAATCATTTCAGGATGAGCGAGTCATGTGTAGAGACCCACGAGGCGCCGGCTTGGTTATCAAAATTAGAAAGCCAGCGTGAGAAATTAAGCAAAGCTCGTTTGGGACATGATAGCGGAGCCGGCGCACCATGCAACTCATGCGGTAAAAGATTACAAACCTTGCCACCTATTCAAATAATATGCAATACAGTGCGATCGATAGTTTTGATTAGATTAGTTATCTTTGTACATAATAAATAGTCTTAGTATTGTTTTATAATACCATGCAAATTATTGACTTCAGTAGTATCAATAATATTGACAGACTCTATCAAAGTATGATAAGAATCAATAATAGTGAAGTGGGATACTACAAGGCTTAACTTTAGAATAAGCCACCTTACATATTTTCCTGATACTATTTTATAGATAGGGTTATGAAAACGCATAATTTCAAAAGTCAGTTAGAAAAAAAGTAAATGACAAAATACACTGTTATCATTGTCAAAATGACATTTCAGGGGGTTACAACATTTTCTAAAAGGTTCTAGTTATATTTTTCATACAAATATATGGTTCAAGTGTTACAAGTTAGTAACTTACAATAATTGCTCTTAATACAAAATGCTTAAAAATCCCACTTGGTCCCTGGCACCCTGAGATAGGAATTGACCCATGACCTTTCACAATCTGCTGTTGCCCAGATTGTGAAAGGTTGTGAATAATTTTCAGTATGGCATTGTGAATGCAAAATTAATCAAAATATAATAATTACAATAATTGCATCAAAAATAAGCAGTAGTACATATTATATAAGGATTGTAACAATACATTACATTGGGTGCCATACTCGAAGCTCAGTGGTTTATTAGGTTAGTGCTTTTTAATAGCCTAGAATGAATAAATAATTTCAATTTGATTTGATTTGATTGCATATCATAATGTTACGTAGGTGTTCTAAACAATATATTATTAGAATCAAACTATGGACCCAGTGAGGCTTAGCATCATTATAGAGATAGAAGAATCTCTTGTAAATGTAAAATAAGTGTCTGGTAACTTAGAATTAAATATATAGTTTAGTTTGTTCCATAAAATTAGTTTGTTAATAACTTTTTGTTTGCATATCATCACTACTTCTTTTTAAAGCATGATAGTGCAAGAGTATTAGGTATCGAGATATGGTGAGGTGTATGTAATTGCTTTTGTGAATAGCAAAATTAAAAGAAATGGGTACTTGTTTTTCAGCAGAAAAACAATGGAGGGTTATTTATTTTGTAGTTAAGTGTCATGTTACTTTGAAATAAACAGATACCATTAATTTCTTGTCATTATTATCATACACGATTTTGCTTTTATAACTTTTGAAAAATTAGTAAATAAGCAAAGGAATTTATATCTGTACTATATACTGTGTTCTAAAGTGCTTCCTTTATTATTCTAGGTCCTTCTTGTCCTGGATTAGATTTACATTTCTGGAGAAAGGTGTGTCGCTCCTGCCACTGCAGTAAAGATGTACATGATGTTCAAGATGATGACTTGTCAGGTTGGGCTCAGTTTGAGCTACTAGGAACTGCTCGACCAAAAAAAGGCACTTGTGAGTATTTTCTAACTTAAATTTCATTCCAGCATAAATATTTTCATTTTCTGATGTGTTCTTTTTGTTTTATTTTTTTAGTGCCATTGATAAAAATTCGTGGAGTTACTGATAAACCAGTGAAACTTGATTGGGTCCCTCCGAATGCATCAACTGAGTTGGTAAATATTTTATTAAGTACATTATTGTGGCTTGAAATAACGTTAAATTGATAATAGAATATTACATGGGTTATCAGTTTCAACTTATTATTCCCTCCTGTAGCATGAACCAGGGTTTGTAAACCAGTTTATTTTTTCTACTGGTTTACCTTATTAAAAATGGTTTAGTCTGAACCGGTTTCAAGCCCTATCATGAACAATTTCTAATCGCCACTAAGAAATGACATAGGTGTTCATTCTCGATAGATTGATATCAAGTACCTTTTTAAATTATTTGTAGTGACAAGCCATTCGAACACATAAATTATCATTATTCATATTTTCCACGAAGAAAAGGCTGTAGGAGTGATCAAGGGTTTTTTGTTAGGTAGGTTAGGGGACTCATATTTTGCGCACTTAAGACGCACGCTTTGATCGGTCTTTTTTGTTAGGTATCGGAGTACATGTCATGCCTGGGTTCGCTAGCACCAGTGTCTGGTTCGGAGGCGGCGCGTCGCAGGCGGGCTCAGCTCCGCACGCAGCTGCCGCCGCACGACGTTGCCCCCGCCGCGCGACATCACGCCACAGATCAAGAGAAGTCGGAACATACGGTGTGTATTAATAATAATAAATATACAGAGTTAACGGAAGAGAAGTTCGAAAAATATGGACGCAAAAGAAAGTTTACTTGGTTCCCGTTGTTCTTTCAGCGACAGGTATTATTCCTTAAAGTCTTCACAACAGCCTGAAACTACTAAATGTAGAAGAAAATCACATGTGTAATTGTGAAAAAGTTTTACGAAATCGATGATGACCACATAAATACTCGCTCAAACAGTACATAATACGCATAGCGTACTATATTTTACTTGGTTTATAAAACCGTGAAAAAAAGTATAACAATAATAATAATAAATTTATTGTAATCATCTTAGTCTATATGTCGCAGCCAAGTAGTATAATAAGCCAACATAATTGAATGGCGCCATTCAATTAACGAATTTTTTGTTATGATCTGTAATCAATACAGATACTGAACTGATCAAAAATATAATAACAAAATGTTTATTTGCGACTAGGTTTTAATGTTCGGTATGATCCAATATAGGAAGCTAACGTACACACCCGTTCTGCAAACGACTTAAGCTTAAACTGTCATAGTAAATTCTCAATATTAATACAATTATACAAAGATAAGATATATCGCGATTCAGACGGCCACTGCACCATTTGGGATTATTATAGTATGTTTATTACGATTTCGAAATTTGGTGCTACAATAGTTAAAAACGTCGTAAAATTATTAATAACAAAGTCCTGTAGGTCACGTGATAGGTTAGAATTTTAAGACGCTTAAGTGTCTAAGTTTCGAGGCCTTTTTTTACAGATAATAAAACTAAAACTAGTTTAACTAGTTAAACGGTCCAAATGTCATAATGATTTAACTAAAACTAGGCGTGCAATTGAATGGCGCCATCAAAATAAAAGGCAAGCCGCCCCTTCGAACGGCTATTTTAACCAGTTGGCTGCAACATATACATAATATTAAGAGCTAAAAATATTTATACCAAATAATAGCATCATATGCCTAAACTAGGATAACGTGTTCGTCAGGAGAAACAATGTACTTATAAAATACACTTGTTAAAACTATCACTGCGCAAAAAGATTTCACTAACTACAATTACTGATAGAAAATAAATCAATTATATACACAATTTAGTTTACTGAGTGTATAAAACAGATCACATATTTTATTTTATAATTATAACATATAATAATTTCTCTGTATCGTCATATGTCAAATTTTGGCGAGCTACAATGAGAGTTTTCTTACAATTTCTAAAATGCAAAGAAAGGTCCGAGAAAAATAAAAAACTGAAGTAAAACGTATGTTTACATTGTGTAGTAAGAGGGCAAACCTAATCTTTTCGTCTGTTGCTAGTTCTAAATCCATATTAATAGTATAAATGCAAAAATGACTGTTATACTTTCACGCTTAAACAACTGAACCGATTTTAATGTTGGTACAGATATAGAGTTTTGAGGAAGGACATAGGTTACGTCATAGACATAGGTTCATCGGTCGCGGAACGTCAGAACTGACAAATATATAACATTGAATCTTGCACACTCGGCGGATGAATTCGCGTACTAACTCATACTTGCGTGAGACCCTTAATAGATCTTTGCACCGACCCTAATATATGTCACCTATTGCTTATGACATACACCTGAACACAATCTGTTGGCTAAGAATACTCAAAGGTATTAATGGGAAGTACTCACTGATATTTTTTTTGCGATAAGTACTTTCTGCTTAATAATCGTGTACCTAAATTCCATTAATAAAGATTTCACTTCTTTTTTTTACAGGAATATATAACAAGAATAAAGGACCATGTTGTGGGTATGGGTAACGTCGTCCGGGTCGGGCCACTTCAAAGTGGAGAAGTCTTTTCGATAGAAAGCAGCAAGTCGCATGCGGCCCCCAAATCATATGCTCTTCCATTGAAAATATCTAACTTGTCTAGAGGTGTGAAGTATAATATAGTTCCGAAAAATGCCTCTGATAAGAAACTCGTACTAGACTCGCAGGGTAACGTAGTAAGCAGCGCTGCTAACCTTCCAGATTATAAAACTAGTCCAGTGCTGAGTCGTATTGTTAAGGACAAACTTCATGTAATGAAGATAGAATCAGATAGAATTAAAAGTGCTGTGGAACATGGCCCAGTATATGATAAACTATTCAAAAATTTGAATGACCTCGGTATGCCTATTAGTGGTGATGTTTATTTACAACCCATAAAACTTTTTCGTGATGAATATAATAAAAATCCTCAGTTCCGTGAGGAAACTAATGAATTTGCTAGTAAAGCACTTGGAGCTCAAATTATGCCAGATTTTTGGTCCACTAACAATAATATTGTGGGAAGTGCTAAACTTATTGACAGCAGAATACAGAAAGGAACAATATTTGCTCCAAACGGGGAGATATGGAGTTGGAAACACGAGCCTACTACACCTGAAACTAGTGGAACTATCTGTTCTACAAAAATAAACCCACAGTATTCAACTGTAACAAAACCTATAAACCAAGTTGAACCTCAACAGACAGCTCCATTACGGGAATATCTGCGTACTCATTCAGAGGATGATCTCCCACCTCCTCCTTTACCGAATTATAGCACATATCCAGGTGCCATTCCAACACCAGCTACAGCTAATGACTGGACGACAAATTCAAACGAAGCCATCCTAAACAATGAAAGAAATGATAATGAAGTAACAGAAAGCTCTAATTATGAGGAATTAAGTCCAATTATAAATCAGCTAACAGATATGACCCTGAGTCCTGCTGAATTAGAATTCAATAGGAAATTGTATAATGAGGGTGTGCCGTGTCAGCGTTGTAAGAAGTCGATGTTTGCTGGTGAAGTGGCAGTCAAAGCGGAGAGGGCTGGACAAGAGGCTATATGGCATCCACAGTGCTTCACATGTAGCAAATGCGGAGAACTGCTCGCCGATCTCGTGTACTTCTTTTACAAAGGGGAAATTTATTGTGCCCGAGATTTAGCTAACGTATTAGACATACCACGTTGCGCTGGTTGCGATGAGTTGATTTTCACGCGTCCATATACAGCAGCAGAGGGTAGAGCTTTTCACGTACAACATTTTTGTTGTTACCATTGTGATGCTCCACTTGGGGGCTCGAAGTATGTTCCTGACGATAAGACTGGTTTACCTATTTGTCTCTCTTGTTACGACCAGTTTCATGCTGAACGTTGTCGAGCTTGTGGAGGTGTTATTGGTCCCGAGCAACAGGGGGTGTCTTGGGGTAATACTCATTGGCATGCTGATTGCTTTATATGCTCCGGCCGAATGTGCGGGAAAAGTTTGCTGAGTGGACGTTTTGTCGTGAAGCAAGAGATGCCATTCTGTAGTGTGCCTTGTATTCAGAGTAGAATTAAGTGATTAGAAGGTAGCAAAGTTTTTGCATCTTCCTATATTTATTATTCTATGTTTAAGTAAATTTTGATATTATTTACTCCAAATCATATTTTTATATAAATTTTGACAAACAATTAGAATCTAAGCCATGTTAAATATTACATTTAAGTCGTTTAATAACAATAAATCTGATATGGTAAAAAAGATTGATCAGTCTTATAAATTTTGATGGAAAGAATGTGACTGATTTTAAGACTAATCAGCATTCCAAGCAAATTTATATATTTATAGCATTTTATGTACATAAGTGTCATATTGGGGGACCATTCTAGTTTTTGTAGTTCTAGCGGGAAGTTTGGGGATATACATGTAGTAGTACTAAAATGTATATTTCTTGAGTTGGTATTTTTTTTTGTGTATTGTGAAAGTGTATTTTATATTAAGTATTATTAATTATCACTATAATGTAAATTTAACCAAAAATGGACATGTATGCTACATGTCCGTTTTTGGTCATATCTACCTATGCTAAGTGAAAGAAAAGTAAATCCCAATGAGTAGATTGACTGTATGATTTTTTTCTTCCACCTACCTTGCATATCAATAATTATAACGACAATACAGAAACTCTTTTTGTGTTTTTATTGTGTATGTGGTTAAGGTAAAGAAAAAAATATAGTGTTTTATCAAATGTTTTTCAATAATTTATTGTTATCAATATTTCTTGTCACAATTTCTTGTAAAGGTGGAATTTTTTGGTTTTAACAACCCATAAGCTAATCCAGTGTATACATATATTCTAGCATGAGTCTGGAAAATTCTAAAATACTATTCTTTTTTTGTGCTCTTGTCGACAGTGCCATTAGGTCACAAATTATGTTAAATATTGAAAATATATTTTGTATGTTAAAAATATTTGGTAATCATTACTACCCGCACTTTACCCGATTACTTGACTTTCTAGATTACCTACTAAGCATAGATAATAATATTGATTTTTACATTTATGCCTCAATGATTATGCTAACATCAATTTAAAATACAAATGCTAATAAGTACAAAAGAGTAATATCCAAGGGCCGCGAGACGTTAATTCTTTTCTGAGAGACAAAATTTGTATTGTACTAAACATTTTTTATATGGGTACTTAAATAGCCAGTTTATAGGTATCCAGGTAAATAGCCAGGTGGTAAAAGTACAGCGCCGGTTCGATCATAATGAAGAAACTAAACATTGAACGGTGTCCATAAATATTCACAAGAAAACAAAGACTGGTGTAGGTAGATGTTCAGATACACCTATTATAGATTAATTTTGCCAATGACAAAAGGAACTCTGTAGGTACTACTGAGAATTATGTACTATTGACTACTGCGGTCATAAACAAAAAAAGTATATAACGTGGCGCTGTCACTGACTTTAGCAGTACCACATTATTTTGTAATTACATATGTCTAAAAGCATTTATATAAGACATTTATCGCCTCTGTGTCTCAAGGTGATATATAATGGGTAAAATATGATCTGGAAAGTTATTGAAATTAATTCAATTCATCATAAGTACATAGTTCTAGCTGTGGCGCTTACAGATTAACGTTAGTCCAGCTGTCAAGCAGTACCAGTCTTATGATTATCACCAAAACTATGTAACTTTATTAGAGATAGATTGATTAAGACAGGCCTGGACAAGCACTTGTAGAATATATTGCCCTGTGGGCATTTGCCCTGGGCGCCAGTGTAAGGGGGTGCCAAAATCATTATAGTTAAAAAACGAACTTCACATTTTTTTCATATAAAGGCTAAAATGAGATAGACATGCTTCATAATCAATAATTGAAATAAGAGAAAAACTTGCACTGCAAAAATATAGTTTCTACACCAGTAAATAAAAATCCTAGATATAGGCCTGGATTAAGAATTCAGTTTGTCAAGGTAGCTTAAAAAACTTACAGGTTTTCAAGTTTACAAACTATTGACGATCATCATTATTGAAATATGAATGCAGTCTTCCATTTATTTTGATATAAAAACAAAATTAATATTGTATTGCAACTCAAATTTATGGGAAATGGGATTGCATGATGAGCACCAGATTTCAAATGTATCATCAAAATTGGAACAAAATTATGAGTTTTGTATAAAACAAAGCTTAATTTCTTATTTAAGTCAAGTTTATCTTTATTTGATTGAAATGTCTATTATTCTCTTAGATAATGTGTTAAAAATCTATTAGAAACCATCGTTAAGTAAAAAAAAAAAAATTGATACTTTTTTTGATCATCAGTCATCAACACCATCAAGCATGGTTGATCATGGCCCATTTTCGCTATTGAAGGCCTCTGCCTCAGCAGTGGTGACATTAATAGGCTGGTCATGATGATAAATTGCCTGTTAGACCTCAATATGATTGCCTTTTTTTTATAATTTTCATTATTGGTAGCAATTAAAAATGGTAGATTAAGATAAAAATTTATTAGATCTAATTTAGTACAAACTTACAAATAAATCAATAAATTTGATAGTGTACTTTAAATAAAGTAAATACAAACGCAGTGTTAGCAGTAGTTTAATGTAGTGAAGCATTTAAATTATGTACTCTTCAAATAAAATTTATCAGGCTTTTATTTTCATTTTCCCAAGATCATTCTTAAGTTTATTTAAGTTTTCTTGTAAAGCTTCTTGTTTGTTTTCCAATGCGGAAATGTGATCATCTGTACGTTTCATTTCTTTGCTAATATATTCCATTCGTTTTGCTACATTTTGTCTGGCTTCTTCCAAATCCTGTTTTACTAATACTGGCCCTATTAATTTATATATTTCGGCATCTTTTTTCAGTAACACCAGCTCTTCTTTGACCGCTTTATTTTCGTTTAATTGGCTGTCAAGTTGTTGCTTTTGAGCCATTGCCTTATGATATTCCTTTTGTACTCCACTTAATGTCTCCAGCTCCTTTTGAAGCTTTTTCTGGATTTCTTCCGTCATTGTTGTATAAATATTCTATTTTTTAACTAAAATCAGAATTTTTATAAGTTATGGGTTACAAAAATTTAATAACCAAAAGAACTAAAATCATTGAACGATTTCGTTTTTGAGGTTATAAATATTTGTCAAACAAAACGTCAATGTCAGTCATACGTTGATTTTATTTTTTAAAAGTTTTTAAAGTTAAGGTCATGGATCATGCTGTCTATAATGGTCTTTCGGGCTTTTGGTTTTGTTACAGTTGTAGCCTAACTGATTGGTCGCTTCCAGTGTGTCAAATATATTCCATTAGAGCTTTCAAGTCCATAAAAACATTATGCAAATCAAAGATAAGCTACGTAATGCATTAAATTATGTAGATAGAACAAACATATTGCTTATTTAGAGTCATATTATATTTTAACGTAGATTTTTGTGTAAAATTGTATATTTTAGTGTTCTCGAGAAAACAAAAACATACTGAATAGTGTAGAATAATCTTGCCATAGCTGAAGCGGCCTCGCTTTTGTAAATATTGGTTAACCTTTTAATTAAATCCAAAATAGCAGAGAATGATTTTCATCAAATGCGGGGGGACACTTTTTTGAGCTTCTGAATAGAGCTACTGTTCTAAATAAATGAAATTAAAAAATAAATGATATCTCGTAAACAGTCGTATAGTTCGTAGCGATTGGGCAATTTTGAAGTAACGCTGATTGAATATAGAAAAAAAAATATATTACAAACCAAAAACTTCAATTATTCCTTGAAGTTTGAAGTTAAAACTATGGATTTGTCTACGATAATATTGTTGAACAAAATTTATATCAGAATAATGACTACTTCAAGTTTGTTTAAAAACTATTTTTTTGCATAATGTATACGCAAAATTACTACAAAACGCCATGCACCCCATCTTTGGACTTGTATCGGATTTCTTCGCGCCAATATGCTTGCGTTTGAACATGGTAAAAAGACTTGTATGCCAAACGAGCGACAATAGCAGCCCTGTTGAACTTTGTATCAAAGTTGTTGCTGATACGGGATTTTCCTATATCGGCGGATGCTGATGTTAATAAATTACTTTAGTTTTAGTAAATTATACACCATAAAATTATTAGCAATTGTGGTATGATATTTTGAATATAGCACAAGTTATTTATTATTTCTAATCTTACTAATAAAAGTTAGTTGGCGGACCTTTGTCCAGCCGTATTGCAGAACGTTGCGTTCAGGTATTCGGCTGATCGTATTAATTGAATGTCAACCATTAAATTAAAGGTCTAGCTGCCCAGTTGATCGGCTGATTATACTACTTGGCCTCGTCATAATATATACTAATATTATAAAGATGAAAGATTTGTTTATAATACGGGTAATAGTAAACCAAAACAAATACATACATTTATTTTTCTGATAGTTTTTAATATACTATCACCGATAATTATATTAAACTAATTATAAAAAAAACAAATATTTAATGCTCGTTGTCACGCGACCGCAAACAGCGCGTGACGTCATGCTCCTCTTACTCATATCAGAACTTAAAGAATTAAATATTATCTATACGTAGAACGATATTCATTTTAGAGTGCCGTGACGTACGACAGAAGCGGCGTTTACGCGAGAAATTTTTGAAAATAAAATTTAATTTTTAGATATTAATTTATATATGAATGATATACTTTTTTAATATATTTCATGTATAGTTGTTATATAATTTAAAACATACAAAATATGCTAATATACAAAAATGGGACAATATTTGGGAAGAGATAGGATTAATAATGAATCAATCAAATAGGTAGTTTCCAATTTTATTTTACTTTTGTATTTTGCATACTGCTTTCAATTTCTTTTTATAAATTTTCAAAACCGTTTATATACGAATATTCAGTAAAGATGTACGAATATACCCAATAAAATAATTCCATATTCTTAATGAGAAATGCTTAAAATTCCACTTTGTCCCTGGCCTTTCGCAATCCCGGTGACTGCTCTAACCATTGAGCTACCCAGAACTTAACAAGACCAAAAGTAAAATCCCAGAAGACAAGGTAATTAAATGCCTAAAATACAAAAAAAAAAAATAAGCAAAAAATATAAACAAATATAGCAGAAAAGATGGCATTCTACTGAGTGAGGAAACCAGATAAAAAACAAGATAGAGGAATCTTTCAAGCATTTGTTAGATACTTATTCGTTACTACGGAGAGTATTTTCATCAATGTTCAGGCAATCCTTTCAAACAGCCGAAAGAAATATTTTTACAAATATCAAAACTTTCCATAAACATGAAAATATAATAATAGGTACAAAGCAAATTATCTCGATAACTTTTAAGAATCGCATATTTTAGTAACCAATTTCTTTGGTCTGTTCCTATTTTTAACACACTTTTATTAGGTCGACCTATATGTACATATGTAAGAAACTAATGTTGTAATGGAATCTAATTTAACTATCTTCCAAAGATCGTAGTGTCATGAAAATTGGCAGCTGTATGTAGTTCTGATAACAATACAATAATATGATACTGTCGAATTGATCTGATGATGGAGCCCGAGGTTATGAACTGGAACTTCAGTATGCATCATGGCACCATAGCTGTGTTTGGACTTGTTAGAAAAGTCTTGTGATGAACTTTGACTACGATTAGGTTTTAAAGTCTGATAGTGATGCCGGCATTAGCCGAATTGGTATTCCATCGTGGAATATCGTATCATAGCCGTGTTTAGACTTTTTAAAAAGGTCTTGTAATGAACTTTGACCACGATTAAGTTTCAAGGTCTGATGATGAAGTCTGAAGACAGGCACTGACATTCCATGATGGTATATCGTATCATAGCCGTGTTTGAACTTGTTAGAAAGGCCTTGTCACAATTTTGACCACAATTAAGTTTCAATGTCTACTTGAAATTAACGTATAGATATTAAAAATATTTCGTTATCGAAAACTAAAAAGTATAAAATTAATGAATAGTTTAAGAAACACTAGAAAAACACACTTTTATAAGTGCACGTAAAAGCAAAAAAATAATTATGGATATAACCGTTTGTAAGTGAACGTGGTAATATTTTTTGGCAATTTGTTCTAATAAGGTGCATCCATATAGGTTTTTTAAAAAAAATAAGAATATATACTGATTTACGTCGATAATCTCTTATCATGATCTTTGGATTTTTTAGCCGTACTGTAGAACATTGTGCTCGGCTACTCAGACGGATCGACGTTGAAACGTGCAATGAATAGCGCCATTAAAGGGCTTGGCTACGACCATAGGCTGCGATATAAACATAATTATATGAATTTATGTATAAGAATATTGGTATAAGAGTGAGTGTTTCATTCACTGTTCGCAATCATCTCCATCTCCATAAAGTGGGAATTTTATTTAACCAGCGCCGTGTGGCGCACTCGTGAGTTGTGTGGTGTGCGTAAGGTTAGATACCTTTACTTTTTACTCTACATGCGGAGCGGGTAGGACTAATGTAATCAGCATGCTTACTCTTGAACGCAATCGCTATCGAATCACACCAATGATTTTTACTATCAGCATATCTAAATTCCTTTTTATTCTTTCCCTATCTTAAACGTATTAAACGTAAAGTACGGCCTTCGCGGCAAAATCCGGCGATGTGACTGTGCTAATGTGTGACGTCACTTCGCAACATTGCCAGCAGGCCAATTCTGCTAATGTTTACGTTATAATCGCATCTCGATAGAATCTCAACGACTTGCATTTTATCATTGTACTACCTACATAAAGTTCAATGTTATTAGTTCAATGTCTTCCTCACACATCGATTGAGTCAGATATATAATAATATTGGAGTTCAGGTAGATAGTACAAGGGCAAAATGCGAGTAGTTGACATCCTATTGACACGCTATTATTACGTAAACGTTAGCAGAATTGGCCTACAGCTCTTTTTTGCTTTGGCTCATTGCGGGCTGGCATTTTGGCTCAATGACGGTTTCGCTATAAAACAAATTGTTTTTCTTATAGTGAAAGAAAAAAATTGTTAGGAAATATTGTATTGGAAGGAAATATGATTTATTTATTATTACTAGCATATGAGTTTAACTTTCTTTATTTGAGTCTGGGAGTTTTATTTGTGTGTTTTATTTGCCATATCGATCAATACTGAATATCTGAGTGGAGGCTTATTTTACAAAAACTCGATTATAAGTACGACTGCATTATTTCATACATACGTTTTTATATAACAAATAGAAAATAATATGGAAAGCTTTATAAAAAAAATCACTTTGTTTGCCATAAAGGATGAACTGAACTTTTTGTCTGTAATCCATTGAAATAAAATCTCGAGAGTCTTGTCGCATAGAGACGTTATTTCATAGCGCACGAAAATTTACAACGCTGTATCTTCGGTAAACCTGGCCCGATTTCGATGAAAAAAAAAGTAATATTATTTAATTTACACGAACACGCGCATTTAATGCAGTAACTTTTATATGATAATTTTGATGTGCTGGTTCGATTCATTGTGCCTTGTTATTATTCTTGTAATTGAGTACACTAGGGTCAGAATATGCTAATGTATCCAATCAAGAGTACGAAACGGCACAATAGGAATGCCGATCGATCGTGATTGCGTTCGAGAGTAAGCATGCAGTTCCATATTATATATATGATACGGGACCCGCACGGGACGGGGCGGTTTAAATAAAATTCCGGAAAAGAGTTATAGGTGGTATACAGGGAAACGTGCAGGTAAAATAGTTGTACAGCGATAAAATTGAAAGAAGTTTAATATTCCAAATACAAAACACCTTAGGTAATGTGTTTGATTTTAATAAATAAAAAATTAGAACTAGGTTTAATACTAAATTATTATCTTTATAGTTACTACTAGTGGTAAGGAACATTATTATGTTGACGTTTGACTGTGCTCGTCATTGGCTTTAGCATTTTATGTACATTTAGTGTTATCTTAACGCATTTGAATGATTGATGAATGACTCAAATGGATAATATTCTATTTTATTTTTTAGACTCAAATTTTGATTTAGTTAAGGCGGAGAAAATACACCATACACTGTTTTTCTCGTAATATGTTTTAATATTTGTAAATAAAATTTTTCTTCGAAGGTAATAACTATAGTTCAGTCTCCAATCAAAC